GTCCACAAGAGAGAACAGAAAGCGAGTAATCATGGAAGGAAGTGTAATGGAGGTAACTGAGCCGCAGAAGCAAAGAAAGATACAGAGATTAATTCCACCGGAGGAAATGAATTTTTATTCCCTCCAAAATTAATTTTTTTTCTTATTACAAAAGAAACACAAGCTCAGTTCAGAAAAAAAGTGAGAAAAAATAGGGGACAGGATATTAAAAACACACGTTCAATATGAAAGCACAACCTGAAAATAAAAGGCCAAAGTGAAAAGGCAACAGCCTTTACTGAGATAACAACCCCTATTGGGGAAGCAGTGATTCAGGCAGACCTGATAATGCTCCCCTTTGGTTTGTTTTGTTAATCCTCACCCAATGGCGTTTTCCCATTCATTTTTTAAAATATATATATTTTTTATTGGCTTTTTACAGAGAGGAAGAGAGAGGGATAGTCAAAAACATCAATGAGAGAGAATTATTGATCAGCTGCCTCTTGCACACCCCCTAGCGGGGATGTGACTCTTGACGGGAATCGAACCTGGGACCTTCAGTCCGCAGGCGGACGCTCTATCCACCGAGCCAAACCGGTTTTGGCTCCCATTGATTTTTAAAGAGAGTGGAAGGAAGGAGGAGAGACAGGGAGACAAACATCAATGTGAGAGAGACACATCCAATGGCTTCTTCCTACATACTCTCCGACCAGGATAGGGATGGAGCCTGCAACCCAAGTACACGCCTTGACCAGAATCAAACCTGAGACCCTTCACTCCAATGGCTGATGCTCTATCCACTGAACCGCTAGGGCTCCGGCTCCTCCTCCTCCTTCTCTTCCTCTTCCTCTTCCTCCTCCTCCTCCTCTTCCTCTTCTTCAAAATGATAATAATAATAATAAAATATTCTGATTAGGAAACCAAGGCAAAGGGTATTTGTGAGAAAGGAAAGGGGGAAAAGTATATGAATAGAAGGATAAGCTAATAGTACTGCTAATTCTAAACAATGTTGTTGATTTTCAGTTCATAGTCAACAGTCCAGTAGACAGAATACCTGCTTTCTTATTATCTTTGCAAAAAGTTCTTTAGGGCTACAGTGCTGCTTTAGGTTAGCCCAAAGCTTAATTTGCCTCTGGAATGGCAGCTCAGGTTCCATTTATATTATTTTGAAGAGGCTCCATTTATATTATTTTTTTGCACATTGCAGCATTATTTACAATACTAGGTGTACCAGTTAATAATGCGGATTTTTTTTTTCAATAGTTGAAGTTACACATATGTTGGTATATATGCGGTTTGATATGTATGCTATTTTGTTGTATTGACAGCTTCAAAACTTCATATGTCAAATTTTCTGAAGGTGTTAACATCATAGATATTTTTATTCTTAAAAATGCTGAATTTAAAAAAAAATGTTGAATTGCTTGCCAAAAAAAAAAGAGCATTTGCAGTAAGTTTTGATTCACTACTTTATTTTGAAAAAAGTGCTGCTGAATACTTCAGGAAGCTTCTGGTGAACATGCTTCATCTCAAGATACATGTGAACACTGGTTCAAATGCTTTAAAAGTGATGATTTTAATGTGAAAGACAACATCCAGGTCAACCAAAAAACTTTGAAGACCAACAATTACAAGCATTATTAGATGAAGATGCATGTCAAACTCACAAAAACTTGCAGAAAGATTAAACTTTGCTCAGCAAACAATTTCCAATCATTTACAAGCAATGGGAAAGATTTTAAAGGGAGGAAAATGGGTGCCACATCAACTGAAAGAAAGACAAGTGGAAAACAGACAAGTAATCAGTAAAATGTTGCTTCAACAGCACAAAAGAAAGTCTTTTTTTTTTTTGCATCGAATTGTGACTGGCGATGAAAAGTGGATTTATTTTGAGAATCCAAAATGCACAAAATCATGGATTGACCCAGGTCAACCATCAACATCGACTACAAGGCCAAATCACTTTGGAAAGAAGACAATGCTCTGTGTTTGGTGGGATCAGGAAGGTGTGGTGTATTATGAGCTTCTAAAAGCAGGTGAAACCGTTAATACTGATCACTACCAACAACAGATAATCAATTTGAACCATGCTTTGATCATGAAACAACCCAAATGTGCCAGAAGACACAGCAAAGTAATTTTGCTTCAGGATGACACACCATCACACACTTCAAAACCAGTTAAAGACACGTTAAAAGATCCTGCCTGGGAAATATTAACCCACCCACTGTATTCACCAGACCTTGCTCCTTCAGATTACCACTTGTTCCAATAGATGTCACACGCACCTTCTGAGCAGCACTTCAAACAAATGAAGAAGTGGAAAATTGGGTCCCCAAATGGTTTACCTCAAAACTAGAAAAGTTCTGTTGGGACGGTATCCACAAATTACCTGAAAGATGGGGGAATGTGCAGCTTGCGATGGACATTACTTTGAATAAAGCACTTTTGATGTTTCTCTTGAAATTATCATGCTTTCTTTGATTACAAAATTCAAATTATTAACCGGTACACCTGGTAGATACTAGAGGCCCAGTGCATGAAATTTGTGCACAGGTAGGGTCCCTAATGGCTGCCAGCCAGGGCCTCCCTTCCCCTGGCTGCCTGCTTCCACTGCCCCCTGGTGGTCATCACATGTCTAACCCCAGGTCAGTCAAACTCCCATATATGGGGATATTTTGGATATTAGATTTTTATTATATGGGACTTGGGGCCCAGTGCATGAATTCACGCAGCTTGAAAGGAACTCTGGGCTGCGAGACTCCGGTGGGAACAGGAGCCCATCCTCCACGCCCCTGCCTGGCCCCTCCCTCAGTGGCCCCTGGTCCCCTGTCTGCTGGCAGCCCTGCTTCCACCCTGGCTGCACATCTGGCCCTGCTCACACCCGCTGATGGTGCCCAGTGATAGGGCCGGCACCAGGCACCAGCAGTGGGTGGGACTGCGGGCGCATGGGAGCAAAGAATTTTCAGTAACCACCAGAGCTTGCCCTGATGACAGTTATGGGCACCCCACCTTAGCCTGGTGCCCCCTCTTTCCTGCTCTACCATTCGGCCCTGGCAATGCCCACCATGTTCCATGCTCTGCAGCCTGCTGCCAACGCCCGCCATGTTTCGAGTGTGCCCTGATAGCGCACATCACAGCGACTGGTTGTTGGGTTATTCCCCTCTTTGGTCTATTTACATACTAGGGTTTCATATATATATATAGATTTTTAAAAATAATAATTATATATACATATATATACACACACATACACACACACCCACACACACATATATAGTGTTGGGGTGTGCTTCTATAATATGAGGTTTTTTAAAATAAATATTTGATTTTAGAGAGGAAGTGAGAGGGAATCTACCAGGAATCAAACCCTGACCTCCCGGGTCATAAGTTCACGCTCAACCACTGGGCCACACCGGCTGGGCTAAGATACAAGTTTTTAAGAGAAAAGTTAGAGTTTTTTGTTTTTTTAATATATTTTATTGATTTTTTACAGAGAGGAAGGGAGAGAGATAGAGAGTCAGAAACGTCGATGAGAGAGAAACATCGACCAGCTGCCTCCTGCACACCCCCCACCGGGGATGTGCCCGCAACCAACGTACATGCCCTTGACCGGAATCGAACCTGGGACCTTTCAGTCCGCAGACCGACGCTCTACCACTGAGCCAAACCAGTTTCGGCAAGATTAGAGTTTTTAAGAAGTTGGCCCTGGGGCCTCAGGCACCTTTTGGGACCAACCAACAGTTTACATGTTCTAAGTTGAACTGGAAAAGCGCTATTGTCTAGTGTTTAGCAAATGGTTTGAATAAAAATGCATAAATAAATTAAGCCGAAATACCGTATTTTCCGGCGTATAAGACGACTTTTGGGACCGAAAAAAGTCAACCGAAAAATCGGGGGTCGTCTTATACGCCGAGTATATCCCGAAAAAACGTCTCGATATGCCGCTAAACGAATTTTCCAACTCGATCACAAAAGGAGGAAACGTGTGTGCGCCACAATTGGATGTTTTGTGTAACTTTGTCCTAAAAGCCTGGAATGATGTTACTGAAGAAACAGAAAAAAAAAGAACTGGTGTTGCCTCGGAAGTGGGGGGCAGTCTTATACAGCGAACATAGGCCTAAACCTATGTTTTAACTGTAAAATCAGGGGGTCGCCTTAAACGCCGGAAAACACGGTAAATAGGTGAGGAGGAGATGGCGTTTTCCAGACAGAGACTGGGTCATTCTAGGCAGAAGCAACAGCAGACGCGAAGGTAGGAAGACATCCGGGAACAGCAGGGACCTGGTGTGTCCGGAGACAAACAGAACCGGCGGCCACACCGCTGGGGTTTCATCGCCCCAATACGGCAGCGCCCGCCTCCCGCTGGGACCTCCTGCTCCGCGGGCCCCGCCCCTCCGGCGCGCGGTGGCCCCGCCCCTCCGGCGCGCGGAGGCCCCGCCCCTCCGGCGCGCGGAGGCCCCGCCCCTGGGAAAAACTGCGGCGGGAGGCGCAGCCAGTGCGGTCATCTCGCAGCGCCGTCCTAACAGCGAGCAGGGGTAGATGGCGCCGCTTAGTGACGTCAGGATCATTGACAGCGTGAGGCGGCGGCGGCCACTGCGGCCCGGGTGCTGAGCGGCCGGTGAGGGTCTAAGTTTATTTCCTGTAAGGCCAGGCGCCTTCCGAGAGCGCGGGGCCGGGCGTTTGCGGCCGGGGCGGCGGGTGTGCTCTGCAGGGCCCTGAGGCCGAGCGGAGGGTTCGGAAGCCCAGGGACCCACTCCGGGATCAGGCTGGCTAGGGGGTGTGTTGGAGAGGAGGCTGCTCCCACGCCGTGGGAGAGGCGCGGTAGTTCGGCTCGGGGCTGGCGGAGTCTTAGGGTCCAGATTGGGGTGAGGTCACTGGGCACTCAGGGGTGGGCAAGGAGATATCTCCAAGGGGTTCGGCGTGGGGGTGGGTGGACCCCGCTCACGAATCTCCCCTCTTCTTCTCCCCCCTCCTACCCCCCGCCTGCTCGCGTGCCTCGCGCGGGCTGCAGGTGCATCATGCCCAGCCTGGGAGTGCTGGGCAGCGCCCGCTCCGGGCTGGGACTGTTGCTGGGCACCGCCGCGGGCCTCGGATTCCTGTACGCCCTTTACAGACAGCGGTGGAAACGGCCCCAGCGCCACGGCCAGAACCAGCTCCTGCCCAACTCACTGGACGTCACGCAGACTTCAGAGCCCAGACGCCAGGGTAGGAGCCGGTCCTCTGAGGCCACAGTCACGCCTATGGATGGGCCTGGGACCCTGCCTGCCTTAGCAGAGCCTATGGGACAGGACCACCGAGGCGGGTGCCTGAGAGTTTCACCTTTTGGGAAAGCTTATTGAAAAGGAAAGCACGCTCCCTCTTCTCTTCTCCTCTACTCTCTCCCCTGTAATCCCAGGACAGTATATTGTGAAAAGGCTGCTTAGCTTTCACTTTTGTTTTGGCCACAATGGTGCTATATGAAAGGCACTTGCTCAGCGTTGGGTGAGGTGTTTAATAAGTAGAGGAAGAGTTCAAAAGAAAGCAAAAGGAAAAACAAGCCTTGTAGGAATTAAAAGTCCTGAGGCTTATGTGTTAAATTACATATTAGAATGAAGGGATCTTGGAGACTAGTCCAAGTGTTTTTATCCTTATGATGAAATCAAGATTAAGATTGTGTAACTTTTCCAAGGTTGTCACAGAGTAAGAGGCAGGATTCGGCCTCGTCACCCGCCCCGAGAACTAACATGCCATGGGGCTGCGAGTGAGCTTACTTGCAACGAAGCTGAATAAGGGTGGAAGCCAGCCACAGCTGAAAGTTTTGCAAAACTTTCTTGTTAAATTAACTCATTTGAGCAGAGTATGAGGGCTGGTTCAAACCTCATGTTCCTGTAATAGTAGAGCTATTATTCAGAGAACCTCACCCCAAGTTAATTGGGAATGAGTGTTTTCTCTGATAACCAAATGCCAAGTGGTTTAGAAAATTAGTTTTACAAGGTCTTCAACAAAGAATTATCATTTAAAAATATTTTTTAAATTGATTTCAGAGAGGAACGGAGAGAGAGAAACATCAATGGAGAGAATCATTGGTCAGCTGCCCCCTGTAGCAGAGATCCCTGCAGCCCAGGCTTGTGCCCTGACCAGGAATTGAACTGTCACCTCCTGGTTCACAGGTCGACGTGCAATCACTGAGCCACACCTGCTGGGCAAGAGTTATCATTCGAAATTGCAGCGTTTATCAGCATTTTACAGCCCGATAGTAACCTGATGTTGCACGTATGCTTGTCTTTCCTTCATTTTCCTTGCGTTTTGTTTGTAATTTCTCAGCGGTAGTGGTTCTGCGGAGGCTGGGAGAAAGTGGCTCTGTCCCCAGGGACCTTCTTGCTCTCCAGTCTTGAGTACTGTTGGATGTGTACTGTGATCTGGCCTAGACTGTTACTAGATTTAACGGACTCGTGGGTTCTGCCTCCCTCGTTTCTTTCCTGCTTTTACATCTTCCAGTAAAACTGCCTTAGGGTAGTAGTTCTCAGTTTGCTAGCATTCACTGTTGGAATTTAGGTAGAGCTCAATTCAGATCTTGGTAATACTGTTTTTCCAATGTCTTTTTTGAAACTAAATCTTTATTGTTGAGAGTATTATAGATGTCCCTCTCCTCCCCTCATTGTCCACCTCCCCCTGGTTCTCACCCTCAAGCGTGCTTCATGGGCTTTTCCCACTGTGCCTTTTCTCTACCCCTTTTCTCTTTGCCCCTCTCTGACGCTAGTAAAAGTTCTTGAAAGGATCTGTGTTCTTTGCTCTTCTCTGTGAAGTGAAAGATCAGAGTTTGAGTGAACTCAATTCTAGTTTTGCTCTGTGGTTATTTGCTGGGTGGCAGATATCTGGGCATTATATGCAGGCATACCTTATTTCATTGTACTTCCCTTTATAGTGCTTCACAGACATTGCATTTCCCCCCCAAATCTTCACTAGCAAAATATTATGACTAACTTGATTGTGAAATTTGATTTATTGCAGTGGTCTGGAACCAAACCCGCCATGTCTCCGAGGTGTGCCTGTAGTCAGATAGAGGTTTTTCTTTCATTTTAGCAGGGCAACTGTCCTGACTTTGAGGAATCTCACTCTTGCAAGCATTTTGTTTTTATTTTATTTTTTCTTGCAAGCATTTTATATCATCTGGCTTGGTGTGTAATACTGCTAAAGGTTGGTGAGGAAGGTTCCTGGGACAGAGGGCTCTTGTTGATGGATTAAGACTTGATTTTTTTCTGGGTAATTACTTGGGGCTTATTAACAAGACAGCCGTGAACATAGGCCTCTGAGTCTTTGAAAACAACTCCGGTGAGAAGCAAGTGTTCTTGAATTCTAGGTGCACGATCTTTTCCTTGCTGTGTCCCATGGACCTCACGTCTCCTGTCCCCCTTCCCTCAGTGAGGCCGTTGCGCGCAGTCCCCGGTGAGGCTGGAGATGCTGCGGTGCTGCCCAGCCTTCCAGGGGAAGGCCAGGAGATGGTGCTGGACCGCCTGGACTTCGTGCTGACCAGCCTGGTGGCGCTGCGGCGGGAGGTGGAGGAGCTGAGGGGCAGCCTGCAGGGGCTTGCTGGGCAGATCGTCGGGGAGTTCCGGTGAGTAATCAGCCTCCTGTCCTGCCTCTACAGCTTTTCAGCTGAGCTGTGTTCCGCCTCCCCGTCTGTCTCGAAGGCGGAGGCCGGCTTTACAGCTCCTCACCTAGTTGGCAGGGAAGCGGCCCTGCCCAGGTTCCTTGCTGCGTCGGGGCCTGTGTAATCTGTCGTAGCAGCTGAAACGCTTTGTTCTGACTAACCTGGTCTGCCTTGATCTGTCCAGAGCTGCCCTTGTTCTCTTGAGTCTAAAGACCCAGGATTTTCTTAAACTACATATTCTTAATTATTGATTTTAGAGAGAGAGGGGAGGAGGGGGACAGAGAGCGAGAGAAAAACATTGACTTGTTCAACTTATTCATGAATGACCACCTGTAATCTTGGAGCCGGCTGACATCTAACAGCTGAGCACCTGGCCAGGGCCGGGACCGGGGTTTTCTCTGCCCCAGGCCCTTTAACGGGTGCGGTGTAAGGGGCTCCCGCATTTGAGGGGAAAGAGGCGGGGTGGGTCTAACCACTGTGCTTTTCAGGTCCCACATGGAAGCGAACCAGAGAGTGGCTCGGCGGCGAAGGTTCCCGTTTGCCCGGGAGAGGAGCGACTCCACCGGCTCCAGCTCCATCTACTTCACAGCGACCTCGGGAGGCACGCTCACGGACGCGGAGAGCGAAGGCGGGTAAGGCATCTCCTGGAGGCAGCTGTGGCTCTGCCAGGCTATTCTGTGAAAGCAAGGCTTACCAATGGGGAATTCACACCACGCTCCATAGATACTTTTTGGAACAAGGTAAGGGAATAAATCAGGCTGGGGGACACCTGGCCCGGGGGCTGGATAAGGCCCATGAAACCATTTGTCTGACCGGCCAGCGCCTTAGGGGTGAGTTAAGTAAAGGTTTGATCAGAGATAGCAGGCTAACCTTTAAGTTGATAATTTTGTATGGCCTGTGAATGATGTTATTAATATCCAAATAGCCCTTGGCAGAAAAAAAGGTTTCTCGCCCCTGGTATAAACAAATACAGATCAGTTGAAATAAGAAAAACCATCCAGCCAAAACTGGTTTGGCTCAGTGGAGAGAGCGTCAGCTGCGGACTGAAGGGTCCCAGGTTTGATTCCAGTCAAAAGCATGTACGTTGATTGTGGGCACATCCCCAGTGGGGGGTGTGCAGGAGGCAGCTGATTGATGTTTCTCTCTTGTCGATGTTTCTAATTATCCCTCTCCCTTCCTCTCTGTAAAGAAATCAATAAAATATATTAAAAAAAGAAAGAAAAACCATCCACCTTGTCATCCAGACAAATAGAAATGTTAATAATGGTTATTGCTTGCATCTGTTGTTTTCCTCTGAGTAGATTTATTGTTTGTTTTTTTTAATATATTTTATTGATTTTTGTACAGAGAGGAAGGGAGAGAGATAGAGTTCGAAACATCAATGAGAGAGAGTCATCGATCATCTGCCTCTTGCACACCCCCCACTGGGGATGTGCCCACAACCAAGGTACATGCCCTTGACCGGAATCGAACCCAGGGCCCTTTGGTCCCCAAGCCGACCCTCTATCCATTGAGCCAAACCGGTCCCGGCTAGACTTATTGTTTACATGGTTGTTGTATGTTTTTTATTTCTATTTTTCTCTCTAACATTACCAACTTTTGTTTTATTAATCCTCACCTGAGGATATATATAGATTTTTTTTTTTCCATTGCTTTTCAGGGAGAGTGGAAGGGAGAAAGGGAGAGAGAGAAACATCAGTGTGAGACACATGGACTTGGCTGCTCCTGCACATGCCCTGACCGGGCAAAACCCGCAACCTAATTATGTGCACTTGACTGGAATCGAAACAGAAATCCTTCCCATGATCCTTTGGTGCACAGGCTAATGCTCTAACCATTAAGCAACACAAACTGAGCATTTTCCTGTGTCATCACAAGAACTTTTCCTTCACTGAGTGTGCGCCCCTCTCCCCAGATACTCTCCTCTCCCCACAGGAGAGGCTTGTTTCCTTCAGAGTTTCAGATGGGAGGTGACTCCGAGTAATTGGTGGCCCAGCAAGTCTGACCACAGGCCTTGCTGTGAGATGTGGCCACAGGCAGGAATCTGTGGACAGCCCACAAAGTTGGTCAGGCTACAGCTTTTGATTTGAAACCACTCGTGCCATTTTGAAACTTTGGTCCCAAGCAAGAAGTCTGGATGAGCATCTTTGCTGTGATGCCTGACGCTGTCACGGCAGGTGGGGTCTGGAGGCTGACCGCCCCTCCTCCTCCTCCTCTTCTTCCTCCTCCTCCTCGAGAAAAAGACTGGGGCAGAGGATACCCAGGCCTCCTCTTGCGTCAGAAAGTCTGATTCAGCTATAAACAGGCCCGTCAGGAGGATCTGTGCAGCACTCTCTTCAGCTGGAACACATTATAATTTTAATTACTGGTTATTCATTCTCTGTGACAGACATGGTTCTGAGCACTTTGGAGGTATTTTCTGACTTCGTCCTCACAAGAATCCTATGGAGTAGATGCTATTTTTCTGTTTCTCAGAGCAGACTTGAGGCTTGGCAAGGTGTGCTGCCTTGCCCAGAGCTGTACAACTGCCAGGTTCAGGCTGGCCGGCCTCGTCTGCAGAGGTGTGAGGTTCTGAGCACAGAAGGGCCTTCCCAGGAAGACGGGTCGCAGGCGCCCTCGCGAGTCCCTCCCCTGACAGAGCTCCCGCAGCTCCGCCACGCAGTACAGTATGTTCAGCACATCCTACTCAGGGGAGTTCAGCGTTGTTTGGGCCATTCTCCTGCCTCTACTCAGTTGGCTTTCCAAGAAAATGAAGAGTTTATTACTCTCTTTTTCCATGTCACTGCCACGAGGCGCTGGTGCTGGATTTGCTTATTGCTCAGATGCCTTAGAAACAAGTGAGGTCTTTCCCTGGCCGGTGCGGCTTAGCTGGTTGGAGCCTTGTCCCACGAGCCGAAAGGCGGCTTTGGCTCCGGGTCAGGGCATAAACCCAGGCTGCAAGTTCGATCCAAGGTCAGGGCATGTGGGGGAGGCAACTGATCTATGTTCCTCTTTCGTATAAGTGGTGTCTCTCTTTCTCTCCCTCCCCCCTCCTTCCTCTCTCTAAAAATTAACAAAAGAAAGAAGCAAGTCTTAGAACTTTAGTTCTCCGTTCATGGCTACTGATGCCAGGGTTGTCCGTTCCCTGTTGTCTGTGTTCAGTTTACCTAATAACTGGGCTGAGAGTCCAGTGGGCTGTGTGAGAGGAGGGGCAGAGAGGCAATATTTGACACGCCTGGATTGAAAGGACAAAGTGGTTGATAATGGGCCCTGAGACTTAAGGAGCACCTTCATGAACCCAAGGAAGCAGGTCACTTGGGTGGGGAATTGATGTTTGAGCTTTGTCAGAGGGTAGAACAGGAGAGGTCACAGATCTGCCCAAGGTCAGGAGGTAGAACTCGAGGCCATGGATGACTTCTCTCTAACCAGGGAAGCCGCGGGTGCTCAGCGGGCTCTGTGAGGGGAGGACAGGCCTTCCGCCACCTGTGATGGGATGGGAGGAAGGGTGGCTTCCTTAATGGCAGCTCCAGCGGCTCAGCCCCACGGCTGATCGTGTGACGTGTGGGAGCGAATGGGGTGAAGCAAGACTCTGGTTTCGCTGGCTGCCATCTGGGGCAGTGGCCGTAGTGAGTAATGATTTTCGCCATGGCCACTGCCATCTAGGTCAAGGGGAAATTATGGGAGACCTCAAACTCTGGAATGACTTTGAACATGTGGGTCTGGGGCAAGGAGTGCCTGCTTGAGGGCTGAAAGGATAAGAGTATTTGATGGCTACTCAGTCCACTGGAAGCTGTAGTACCTTCATTCCCCAAATAAAATAGTAACGCTGAGTCCCCGGAGGACTGACTGACTGTGGCAGAGGCAGAGTCCCTGTGTGGTCCGTGAGCTTGTTCCCCGAGCATTGTCGCCAGTCCAGCGTTAGTTCCCTCCCTGTGAAAACCAGACTCGGCCTAAAACACCTGTCCTCCAGCGAGCCTTCACATCACCCCGCCCAGAGGGATGCCTGCCATCTCCTGTCCTCTCATTAGGTTGGTGTTCTCTCTCACGCCACCGAGAGGTCTCCGTCAGAATCCACACCTGCTTGTCTTTGAATGCTTCAGCTCAGCCCCCCAGGGGACTTAGGAGTTCAAGGAAAGCAGCTTAATCTCCAGGAAGGGAGATAAGTGTAACAGAATCCTCGATCGCTCAGGGACTAGGGTAGGACAGCTCTGGGCTCCCTGTTCCGAGGGAGCCTTGGGTTCTCGACCCACTGTGGGAACTGTGTTCCGCCGGAGTGTCGAGACCCAGATGGCCTTTTCACAGGTCTCTGCCAGCCCCTTGCTGATCTCAAAGCTGCCTGGCATCTTCAACAAGAGAGCCCTCTCCCTCCCCTCGTGGATCTCTGCAGCGCTGGGATGGGGGTCCAGGGGGTGTGAGAGCATGTGACTGTAGGGATGGCAGCCCATGTAGCTCTGGCACATGATCCGTCTCTCAAGTCCTGGAAACCCATGGGGCTGAGTCAGTGCTCACTCAGCAAGTGTCTGCCTGCCCCCGTGTGCCAGGCAGCAGGCCTGCAAATCAGGGAGGCAGAGCTCCGCAAAATGGGCTGCAGTAAAGGCCAGCTCCTGCGCCAGCCTCGCTGGGGCATCCCCGCCTCAGGCTCCACACCTCAGTGGGTGCAAAAAGGCCCCTCCTGCCCTCTTTCTCCTTAGCCTTTCGAACTCAGAGCGATCACAAATTGTAGGGCTTTTCCTCCTGGCTCAGCTCCCTGGAGAGACTGTCCCTCCTGGGAGGCTCCTGATTGGCCAAGCCAGCTTTCAATCAGCAGAGAAGGGGCTCTCCCCTCTTTCTCCACCCACAGAACCATCCGCCCGCTTGCCTTTGGGCCTGGCAGGGCTGAGCAGGGAGCTGCTGTTTCTCTAGGATGCCCCTGTGCTGCCTCACTCAGCACCACGCAGGCTGGTTGTGAAACCTGATGGCACTTTGCCTTGTCCCTTTAATTTCTCAAGTTTTTACTGCAGATTGCTAAATTTGGTAAGTTCTTAAAAAGCAGGGCGAAGTTGTGAGTTCCTGTGGTGATGTTGCGAGGGCCCTTCGTTAGCGGGGCCTGGGAGCAGTCAGCAGGATTGCTCACCTGGTACTTTCTAGATGGAACCTCCCTCCTGACCAGGTCCGGCTTGCGGGCCTACAGTGTTCAGCCCACCTCTCTCCTTCAGTTCTGTTTTGCTCCAGCAATAGGGACCTCTCATTCCAGGAGGGAGGAAGGCTTACCACCTACAGGCCCTCCCGAGGCTTCAGAACCTGTGTCTTGTAAAACCCGCTTTTCCTTCACTCCGTCCGGAGGCCTCTCTGGTGTGATTCTGGCCCCCGGAAGCCTTACGTCCCCAGCTGTTTTTGTCTGTTCAGCTGGCGGTGAGGAAGAACACCCTAATCAGCTGCTGGTACAGGCCAACATCTGAGAGAAACTTGGCTTCCTCCTCAATAGGGAATCGAGGTTGGGGCTCCCTGGCTTATGTTGGCACAGAGATACCTTCCCAGGGGATTCTGCTTGCATCTTCCTTATCTCCTGCTTTTAGCTGCAAATGGCCCTCACCCCGCCTCTAGCAATTGCAAAGGTTCCCAAGGGCTATTCCTACTGTAGTTCAGGTTTGCTGGCTGACCTGGGATAGAGGCACACATTGAACTGAGAAAGAAAATGTGGGTATCTGTGGCTGCCCATGGCGTCGGAGGCTGGCACCCACCAAGTTGCTTCTGACAGATGCCTTTGGCTGATAAAGCAAAAAAGATTGACAAACCCTGAGCCTGGTGAGCCATCTAGCTCAGATCAGCTCCACCTACATGAAAGTTTTTATCTTTTTTAACAAAAATTACTTGATTTGAGAGAGAAGGAAAGATCAATTTATTGTTCCACTTATTTATGCATTCATTTGGTTGATTCTTGTATGTGCCCTGACTGGGGATTGAACCCATAACTTTTATGTACTGGTACAACACTCTAACCAAATGAGCTACCCGGCCAGGGCTAAAATTTTAATCTTAAACATTCATTTATTTTTTATTTATAAGAATATAGTGTGGCTTTGTGGTTAGAGCACTGGCCTACACACCAGAGGGTCAAGGGTTCGATTCCAGGTAAAGGGCATGTATCTGGGTTGCAGGTTCGATCTCAGCCCTGGTTGGGGCATGTGTCAGAAGCAACCAATCGATATATCTCTCTCACATCGAGATTTCTCTCTCTCTCTGTCTGTGAAAAAAAGAATATTCTGGGGTGAGGATTAACAAAACAAAAATAGTATAGGTGTCCCAAAAAAGGTATACACACATTGACTGATTATGAAGTCAGTGTTTAATAACATACAGTTCATTTTCAAAATTTAAAAGAATCTACAAAAAATGAATAATTTTTTTTGGTCAATGCCTATTTTCAAACGGATGAACATTCTGGTCCGGCCACTGCTGATAACATGAAGCAATGCAAACACAAACATCAAGAATCATTTTGTTGCCTGGCTGGTTTGGATAGACTATAGTCTTGTGGACTAAAGGGTCACGGTTTGATTCCTAGTCAAGGGCACTTACCTTGGTTGCAGGCTGGATCCCCAACCCTGGCTTGGGGCGTGTTTGGGAGACAAGCAATCAATGTCTCTCTCTCACATTGATGTTTCTCTCTGTCTCTCCCTCTCCCTTCCACTCTCTTTAAAAGTCCATGGAAAAACATGCTTGGGTGAATATTAACAAAAAAAAGAGAGAATCATTTTGATTGGTATTTGTGTGCCCTCAATTCATCAACTGTTGGTGGTTTTGTACTATAAACTTTATGTATCTCCATAAAAAAAGACTATTGGATAAATTTTCTTTGTTCAAAGCTTAATTTGGCTTTACCCATTATTTCAAATCAGTGAAGCCTAAAAAGGAGTGAAAATTAAGTGAGTTATCAGCTGTTAAATTATGTATACATGTTTTGGGATACTTTGAATATGCTCACTAAAGCAATCATATTAAAAGATAGAAAATTAGCCGAAACCAGTGTGGCTCAGTGGATAGAGCGTCGGCCTGCTGACTGAAGAGTCCCAGGTTCGATTTCGGTCAAGGGCGTGTACATTGGTTGCGGGCACATCCCCAGTGGTGGGGTGTGCAGGAGGCAGCTGATCTATGATTCTCTCTCATCGGTGTTTCTAACTCTCCCTCTCTCTTCCTCTCTGTAAAAAATCAATAAAATATATTAAAATAAATAAATAAATAAATAAATAAAAATAATAAAAGATAGAAAATTAGCCCTGGATGGTTTGGTTTAGTGGATGGAGCATCAACCTGAGGACTGAAGGGTCCCAGGTTCCATTCTGGTCAAGGGCACATGCCCAAGTTGTAAGGGTATGCAGGAGGTAGCTGATTCATGATTCTCTCTCCTCATTGATGTTTCTATATCTCTCTCCCTCCTCCTGCCTCTCTGAAATAAATAAAAATGTATTAAAAATATAACTAAATAAATAAATAAAAGGTAGAAAAACAATTTCTTTAAAAATTTGTTAAAATCCTCACCTGAGGATATTTTTCCTTTTTTTTTTTTTTAAGAGTGGAAATGGGGAGGGAGAGAGCGAGAGAAACATAGATGTGAAAGAGACAGAGACATTGACTGGTTGCCTCCCACATGTTCCCTGACTGAGGCCTGGGATTGACCTGTAACCCAGATATGTTTCCTTGACAGGGAATCAAACCCTTGACCACTGAAAGTGCTTGGGCCCACACTCTACCACTTAGTCACACCGGCCAGGGCCCCAAGGATGTTTTTATTGATTTTTTTGGGGATGGATGGGGGCAGAGAAAAAAAATAGTTACCTCCAGTGGGATGAAGCTCCAAACAACTAAACCACCCAGCCAGGGTAACAATTTCCTTTTAATTCGACTGGCAACATTTTGGTACATACAGACATACAGACCTTGCTAGGCTTTTGTTTCTCTCTGTTTTCTGTCAGACGTGATAGTAGCTGCACAGGGGGTTCTGATAACGGCCCGACGGCCACAGGGCCCAGAGTTGGTCACCTCCTCCCAGATCATTTCCCAGCCCAGTTCCCACGGGAGCTGTCTCAGAGGCCTGGTTTTTGCCTCGTCCTCTAAAGGAAGCGGGGGAATGGCTCTTACTTGGTTTTCTGGACAGTGTCATGGAGAGCCCCTCTTTGTGGGTGAGGGACAGACTAGAGTTCTAAGGCTGAATGGTCCCCCCTTTGACCCCGAACTCACATTTCTCTGCCACAGCTACACAACAGCTAATGCCGAGTCTGACTATGAGCGGGATTCTGACAGGGAGAGTGAAGACGGGGAAGATGAAGTGAGCTGTGAGACGGTGAAGATGGGGAGAAAGGATTCTCTGGACCTGGAGGCAGAGGCGGTTCCCAGAGCCCCGGAGGCTGCAGGCTCCCCTGGCCCGGAGGACGTGCTGCCCCTCCTGCTGCAGGCTGACGGGCTGCACCAGGGCGGTGAGCAGAGCAAGCGGGAGGGCTTCCAGCTGCTGCTCAACAACAAGCTGGCGGTGAGGCTTCAGCTGCTCCTGTCCTCCCTCCCTGCTGACTCGAGGGAACAAGAGCAGGCCCTGCCTGGTGCCATGGGAGGGAAATGAGGGGGAGAAGCTGGTGCCCATCCCCCACCACCAGGCTGCACATCCTCTCTCCTGGGGCTCCATGCTGCCCTCGGCCTCGGTTTAGGCCTGCTCCAGAGCTCCCTCCTGAGGGCAGGTCTCTGCCTCCTATTTTTACGGCAAAAACCCCACCTCTTAGTAGAGGGAAATGTGGGGAGAACTGGAATGTCCTTTTAATTTCCTTGAGACCGAGCCCAAGCTGCCTTTGGCACCTGACGTTCCCAACACCAGGGATTTCAACAGCAGTTCCCTTTCCTCAGGCTCACTGCCGCACTGCCGCTCACTCGAGTAAAAATGCCCCAAAGTTGCCCAGGAAAAGGGAGGTCGCATGGGGGTGGAGGGCCATGCATAACACTGAAGCACCGTCAGTCAGCATCTGACACTGGCCTGGCAGCTCAAACGCGGGGCGGGGGACGGCCTTGCCCAGTTCTCGGAGGGAAGACGGGCCTTCATCCCTTTCTCTGTCTGCAGTACGGAGGCCGGCAGGACTTCCTCTGGCGCCTGGCCCGGGCCTACAGCGACATGTGTGAGCTCGCTGGGGAGGCGAGCGAGAAGAAGTCATACGCTCAGGACGGTAAGTGCTGACAGGCTCCTGGTGGGAAGGTGCCTGACGGGCTGGGGGGAAGCTAGCCCACCTGCCTGGGCCCAGAGCAGCCACAAGAGGAGGGCTTCAGGGCAGTTGTGGCTCAGTTACTCACTAGGAATAAACTCGGGCCCCAGGGCCCCCTGCTTCCTTGACACAGAACAGCCTGCCCTTCTGCACATGGCTGTGGTCCGTGTGTATCACTCGTGCACGTTTTTAGGAGTACTGTGTGGTTCCAGCCTACGTCTTTGTTCTCCCCAGACACAAAGCAGGGTAAGATCCTGTTTCTTAATCTGAAGAGGTTTTTTGCTGCGACTTAGGAGTCCGGTTTCAGTTATGCAGAGTGTGAGGCAGTTGTAAGGATGTGAGTGGAGTGGATTTGGTGAGCACCTGTGAGGAGGAGTTTGGGAGAATAATGCCAGGCTAGAAGTCCCTGGGGTCTATTCAGCAACCCTGTTGCCCAATCTGTGCCTTTGGGTGTATGTGGCTATGAGGGTTCATCCCTCTCTATCACCGAGAATCCTGGGACTTTGAAAAGCAACTGGCCCAGCCACAGCCGGTTTGGGTCAGAGGTTAGTGTCGGCCCCTGAACCAAAAGGTCCTGGTTTCAATTCCGGTCAAAGGTATGTGCCTTGGTTGCAGGTTTGATCCTTGGAGGCAACCAGTTGATGTTTCCTTTCTCTGTCTTTTCCCTTCCCTTTTACTCTCTAAAAATAATGGGGAAAAATATCCTCAGTTAAGGATAACAAAAAAAGCAACTGGCCCAACCAGAGTGAATCACTTGGTTGGAGTGTTGTCCCATCACCAAGGGGTTGCTGGTTCGATTCCCATTGAGGGCACATGCCTGGGTTGTGGCTTCGATTCCTGGTCGGGGCATGTACGGAAGGCAGCAGATTGGCGTACTTGTTCTCTCTTCCTCTTTCTAAGCATGTTTGAATAAAGTGACGGGTTTTGTGGGCATGATGATGTGTTCCGCTGCTGTATACACCTGAGTCAAGTACTCAGGTCTTGTGGTTCAGTTAGTTATCTAAAACTAGAGGCCCAGTGCACAAAGATTCATGCACGTGGGGGGTTCCTCAGCCCAGCCTATGCCCTCTCGCAGGCAGACTGGGGCCCCGTAGGGGATGTCCACCTGCCAGCCTAGGCCTGCTCCCCGGGGGATCGGGCCTAAGCTGGCAGCCAGACGTCCTTTTGTACTTGAAGTGCTGCAAGCACATCAGTGGGAACTGTAAAAGCAAGTTTGCTGGGACAGATGATGACAGAAATCAGGAAGGTGAGGTGAAATGGAAGTCATCCCTGAAAAGCTACTTGCAGCTTTTCATTCTGTTCAAGTTCACAACTATTTCCAAGCAAGTTCAGGCTGGATAGGCATTGCTGAGAGCTGGAGCAGTCTTTCGTCCTGACGCCCCCGCTTGGGCAGTGTGCATGGGAACCCTCATCCACTCTGCGTCACCTTTGTCCTACAGGAAAAGAAGAAGCAGAGGCCGCTCTGGCGAAGGGGGACGAGAATGCTGACTGCCACCAATGGTAATAACACCCTGCGGCCCCATGAGAAGCCAGCACGGGCGAGAGGAGCGGAGGGGGCGGAGCTGTTGTCTCTGTCCTGGCCACGAAGGCATTTGCTGAAAGAACCAGAAGGGGGAGCTCTGGCCTTTACTGCCATATGCCCCACCCCACCCCCAACTGGGGGCCAGGGAACTTTTCTTTGGCAGGTGCTTTCAGGATGAGGCAGGAATACAGGCCACCCCTACCCCCATCCTCACCCCCACCCCACCCCCGATAGGGCTTGGGAAAATGGAGCAGCTTTGTAATAACCCTCGTTATAAAACTTGTGGGTTCTGGGCTCCCATGGAGGCTGGGACAATTTGCAGCTCCCTCTCCTGCACAATCTCCTCTTTCCCCTAGCTGCTCTCCCTCACTGGTCGTGGGCTTTTGCTTCTTTGCTTGGCTTGCATGAGGAAAAGTGGATGCGAGTTTAACTCCAGAAGTTCAGTAGACAGTATTTAGCTCTCAAAAATAGCCCTGTTTGTGGTTCATGTGAGGCAAAGTTCCTCCAGCTTGTGTCCTGGGCCTGGATCCAGTACCGTTGAGTATTAATGAAAATGTTCCTTTCCTGCCCCCCTCCAGCTTTCTGTAGCTCTGCCCTCAGACTGTGGGCTGAGAGAAGCTGTTTTTCTAACTGTAGCTGAGGTAAAGTGTCAGCTTTATCTCAGAGGCCAGGTCATCACTGTTTCTAGGGGCTGGTGGGTGCTGCTTCCCTGTGGGTCCTGGACTCCCAAGAATAGAAATTGGCTTCATGTTTTCCTATCTTGGCGAACAGCTGTTTGGACTAACCATGGAAACGAGCCTCTGGAAATATCTGATATTTAGTGAACATGTGAGAAAGCAACTTGGATCTTTAGATGTTCATTTAATGTCAGCTGTGCTCTGGAAACAATGCTGGAGAAATGGGGTAATGAAACTTTGGTTTTGAAGACAGAAGACGGAATGCTGGCTGGCTTTGCTGCCTGGGAGGAAGGACGTGAGGCTGAAATCAGAGGCGTTTCCTCCTCTGCTTCTGTCAGTTTCCACGCTAACATCAGGAGCGCCTCACCCCAGCCTAATGGTCTTGAGCAGTTGACTGTTGGTAACCTGTGTACCCCCAAGGCATGAGACCTTTTAGGGTCTGCAGGGGACACAGAGGAACATACTCAGGTCTAGTACTCTTTGATGCTGATGAATGGAGAACTGCTCTTTAAGTTTTGATAATACCTATGTCTGTATTCATTATGAGGGGAAATTTGTTGGAGACCTGGACCAAGACCTTGCCTAAATATGAAGTATGAGAGACCCAGCCTTTTTTGTAGCTAGTATGTACACTTTGGAGAGCCTACCATTGTGTTTACAGAAGAATATGAATTGGGACCACAGGCCTGTGAAGAGAATGACATACAGAGAGAAATGAGTTTCCGCTCCAGTGGAGGGTGCAGGGCTAGGGAAGCCCTCCCTGTCTCTGAGCTTGCTGCTGCTTTCCCCTCAGGTATGCAGTGCTTTGTGGTCAGCTGGCTGAGCATGAGGGCATCCAGAAGCGCATCCAGAGTGGCTTTAGCTTCAAGGTGAGGAGAGGCTCTCTTCCTTCCCTGTGCTGCCCATGTTCCCTGCTCCTAGCTCCCGCAGTGTTCCTGCTGCCTCTCCGACTCGCCCCTCTTCCCCTAGCCAGCCGGTGTGTCTGATCTAGTTTGTGTTTACATTCCCCCCTCAGGAGCATGTGGACAAAGCTCTGGCTCTCCAGCCAGAAAACCCTATGGCTCACTTTCTCCTCGGCAGGTGGTGCTACCAGGTGAGCTAAATGCCAGGCCTTAATAGAAGGACCTCACTGTCCTGTGACACTGACCTCCCTTCAGTGAAAAGCTGGGAGCTGGGGCCTCAGCCTGGCTCAGGTGCCATGTGCTCTGAATGGTCATGTTACTGTCATTGGACCCTGTTTGTTCTCAGTGCAGAGTATGCAATGTTCTGAAAAGTCTTGTTAAAACTTTATTCACACCTTGATCTTTTGCTGGCAGGTTGCTCACCTGAGCTGGCTAGAAAAAAAAACTGCGACAGCCTTATCTGAAAGCCCCCTCAGTGCTACTGTGGAAGAGGCCCTGCAGAGCTTCCTAAAGGTATTAGGGGAGAAGGAGGGGCAGCAACCAGAATTGCCCGGGCGACGTTTTCCTCAGGACATGACTAGGTTTCTGGTAGGGGCCAATTCGGTTTGCCTGTTCTATGGGAAATCAGAACCACCTGCAGAGCCGATAAAAATATACATCCCCGGACCCAGTAACCCGGACTCCAGGGAGGGGTTTGGGAACACTGACTGAAAGACTTCCTTCCTCCTCCAGGCTGAAGAACTACAGCCAGGATTTTCCAAAGCAGGACGGGTATATATTTCCAAGGTAAAATCACCCATCTTAATTTGACACAGATGAAAAGTACGTATGTTGATAATATTCTGGAAACGCCTAAAAGCACACCTACTTATCCCCTTTTAGTCTCCTGGTGATATTTCTCTCAGGTTTTCACTGTTGTGTCTTCTAGTGCTACAGAGAACTAGGGAAAAACTCTGAAGCTAGACAGTGGGTGAAGCTGGCTATGGAGCTGCCAGATGTCACTAGTGAGGTAATGCTTTTAAGAGCTTTTCTAACCCTGGGGTTTATCATTGAGTCATCCCTGGATCCTTTCAAGAAAGAAAATCTTCCCTTGAAATCTTATTTTCCTAGAAAAGAGCCTTCACCTTGCATGAAGGTGCTATGATAACAGCTCAGGAACGAAGCAGAGGGCCCTTCTTGGGTAGCAGCGGTGTGGGAAATGCTGGCTTAGATTTGGGGTCCTAGTATTGTTCTCTTGTCTCCTTAGGATTCAGCTTTCCAGAAGGACCTGGAAGAATTGGAAGTCATCTTAGGACACTAAACCACATTTCAGTGGCCTTCATGACGAGAAATACCACTACTTGAGGGGGATGAAATCAAGTCTTTTTTCCCCCCTAGACCTTGCTTAGATCAGGAAACCGAGCAAGCCTAGTTAAGGGAATATCCTGAGTCCTGGTCTAACCAGTACCTGCTACCTACCATTCCACTGGTTAATTCCTTAATTAATCTGAAATTGGGGATGCACTTGAGACCTGGGTTTCTGTTGATTTTTCAAGAAGTGACTTTAGGGAGAATACAAGACCTATCCTAGGGCTAAGTGTGGACAGAGAACTGAAGGCAGCCTTCTAACTGCCGGTAAGATGAAGGAGCTTCAAAGAGTCATAGAAACCAAACAGAGAACTTGTACTCTAATCTGTCCACTGATTAATATTCACCCTAAATTATAAAGCACATTCCACAGGAAGGAAGGGTCAGGGCCATCCATGGGATTGCCCTCTTCTCCCCCAGCACGGGGATTCTAACTGGTTCCTTGGACTCAGGGGCTGGACACCTGACTTCTACTCTTTGCTGCTGTTGGAACAGCAGTGCACAAAACTTAGGAGACTCTGAAATGATGATCTGAAGAGTTGCCTGGAATATATTTTGGTACCACTTTAAAAATAAACCAAATTTGATTAGAAGTGATTATGTCCCCTTATGTTTGCTAATAGCTCTGTTGCAGGCAAGTAGAAAAATAGCACCAAAGAGTTAGAATATGCTCTGGTTAGTCAGTGCCTTATAATAATTTTTTCTCCCAAAGTTGCGCTAGGTCTTATTTTCAGGGGATGTCTTATCTTTCCATGCGCTAGGTCTTATTTTTGGGGAAACACGGTAATTACTTCTGAAAGGCAGATAGAGAGCTGATTTTTAGCTTAACAAGGCCTGTTCCCAGGAGCAGGTGTTCCACTCATGTTTACTCAGAACCAGCAGCACAAAGCCTAATGCCACCTACAAGAAAAACTGAGACAAAGTTCTAGGTCAGAGCCACCTAAATACTTCATAGGTCCTGAATGACTGAGATGCTCTTAAGTAAGAATCAAGCTCTCATTCCACAATCTGTCACGGTGACTTTACTATACCACCCAGGTCTGTTTTTTGGTAAAAGAAGACCTCCATTCTTAAAAGCCAAGGAACAGAACTGCTTTTAAAACAAAGTTGCATTAGATCGTATCTCCCTTCATATAGTAGGATCGACACAGGCAGCAGCAGAGATTTTCACTGCCTTTCCTCCCAATACTAAATGAGAGGTCCTTTGAAGTGTCAAGATCTGGTGAAACCAATCCTGAGTGGAAGTTTGAAGGGGAAGGAGAGTATCTCGAATCCCTGAAGTAAAATAACCCAGGGAAGCATCAGACCTCTAACAGAATAAAAGCAAAGGCCACAGGAAAGCCATGGCACATCCATCTTGTAATAGTCTATTACGTTTAAGGACAATAAGCTCAATTATCTGAATATAGAACTTCCCCTTTAAATTTTCAATTTTAAAGCAACAGCAACTGATCACCCTTACCCAGTGCAAAAAAGACGTAAAGGGCCTATCTTGAAAAATAGTTTGTATCAGAATAACTCCTATAAGCAGAAGTCACTACAAATAACTACTTTATTGGCAACCCCACACTGAATCTACTTATTTAAGCCTCTGAAATAATTAAGATTCCAGAATTTTCTTGACTTGCTCTTAGCATTAAAAACAAAAAAACAAAAACCCACCCAAAAGCCAAGCACATAGATGGTGAAGGGCTAGTGACCCAAGAGATCTGCTCAGTACTCCTTAAATAAAAACAAATCCTTACAGAACATAATTCACACACAAACTTAAAAACCTGTCTGATTGACAGATTTATTGACAGACTTACAGAGAAAATAACCTTTGAGGAGTCCCATTCCCTTTGCCCTGTTGCTGACATTGTTCATTATTCAGATAGTGAGAGAAGAGTCATGTCTTCCCAGCTTTAGTTCTCTTAGAGACACAGATTGTCCAGCTGTTAGTCCCGAGTCAACCTCAAGGCACTATGTCAGAGGTATTCCACCCTCACCCCCACCCAAAGAATTCGCATAGAGATTAATACTCTCTCTAGAGAAGGAACAAACATTTCAGATCAGTTTGTGACTACTGACCTGTCTCCTGTTTACTCCATCAGAAAAGCTGATACAATAGCCGTTTTCCTGGATGCCCTTTTCTGGCAGCCACAACAGGAAGAGCCTGTGAAGATCCCCAGGGATAGTCTCCTCCATTAGGCTGCAGCACTTAGTTTATCGGGAAAACCCAGTGAGTCAGTCTTTGGCGTCTCCCACTCCATCCGCATTGATGGCAAACATAGCTTCAGCTTCAGGAAGGCAGGGAGAGTCGTAGATTTTGCAGATTCTGGTTTCCCCTCTTCCTTTTCTCAAGTACAGTCTGACCCAAAGACACAGATTAAAATACCAAAGCTATGATAATTTAAAAAAATGCTCTTCCTATTTAAGATAGAACTAAAAACATTTTTTATGTATATACTTCTTAGAAGGAGTTTCAGAATCTTTCTGTATTCCTTGGGGCCCTGTCACCCTATCCACCACCCTTAGTGGATTTTCCATATTAAAACAATTATTTTCTTTTAATAATGAAGAGACATATGAATTCTTCATATTCAGTTCTCCATATTAGAGGGCTTTCAATTCTTTTATGAACTAAAACCAAACACCTCTACTAACCAAAGCATGACAATGAGATTTAGCAAGAGCTCCTTTGTCCAATTACACAATCATAGCTTTAACAGGGAAACGTTCTACCTTCACGTCTACTTCACAGTTAACATGACATTCCAAGGTGAAGTCACCTGTCCCATCCCTTTACCTGGTTGTTGAGGCATGAGCAATGATATTTCCTCCAATAGGTTTTTTAGGATCCGCAGCAAACATGGCCGCTCCATCCACTTGGGCTACCACCTGGTTGGTGATTACCACAGCTACACCAAACTGACGAGAAAGGATACATGTCTTTTTTATTATTATTATTTTTTAAATATATTTTATTGAATTTTTACAGAGAGGAAGAAAGAGAGAGCGAGCGAGAGCTAGAAACGTCAATGAGAGAGAAACATCGACCAGCTGCCCCCCCCACCAGAGATGTGCCCGCAACCAATGTACATGCCTCTGACTGGAATCAAACCCCGGACCTTTCAGTCCGCAGACCGACACTCTACCACTGAGCCAAACCGGTTTCAGCTTTTTTTTTTTTTTTTTTTTAATTATTATTTTGTGGCCACAGACATTGTAAGGATTAACTTTATTGCTGGCAACCCCCTTTCCCACAAACCAATGAATAGCTCAAGTCTCTTCATATCTATCTGATATCTTGATACCAGTGCCCTGGCCCTCCAGCAAAGCTCCTGAAATCCTTGGCCCCTGAAAGTAGTCTCTGTCCCCACCTGACAACTCACCTCATCAGCAAGTCGCAGAAGCATCCGCAGAAACCTGGCCAAGTGCATCTGCCTGGCTGAAAGTTCACCTCGACCGGAGTAGTCTGTTCTGTAGAGGGCAGTGGCACTGTCTACAATCAGCAGTGCATACCTGCAAGGAACAAGGACTCTCTGAAAACTGTTTCTAGCTTATGTCAGATTCTGCTTCCTTACTCTCACTATGCTAAATTTCACATTCAGTTACACATGTATACAGTTGTTTCATTAACATATTTGTATAACATCCATGTCTGAGGTACCATATAACAAGATAAAAGTTCCAACAAGTTCAGCTGGATTATGGTTTCTTTTTATTATACTTTATGTTTTTTTATTTTAGAGAGGAAGGTAGGGGGGAGAAAGGTAGAGAAACATCGATTTGTTGTTCCACTTATTTATACATTCATTGGTTGCTTCCTGTTTGTGCTCTGACTAGAGTTCGAACCCACAACCTTGGTTTATTGGGATAATGCTCTAACCAACTAAACTACCTAGCCAAAGTTATGGCTTCATTTTTTTAAGTGACTTGACTTTAACCACAAAGAGTGTCAAAATAGGAACTAAAACTTAAATCTCCCCATTTCTAATTCAAGCTACTATCAATTTTTCCAAATAGCCTATGTAAGATTCAGGATTAGGCGCATATCCAGTGTCTTCTGAGCACACACCTGGACTCTGCCATCATAGCGGATGCCTGGTAAAGCAGCTGGGTCTGGTGGTCTGTGTTGAACCCACGAGCATATGCTACATTATCTAGGACGTCACTGCCAGAGAGGCCGTATCTAGAAACGAAGAGAGGACATTTTTAGGCTGCACAGAGAAGGCAGGCAGATGAGAAATTAATTTCTAATAAAGAAATTACATAGATGGGTAGGTAAGAAGTTTTGGGACTAAGTAGTATTAATTCCCTTCTATTACAAAGTTCAGACAAGAGAGATGACAGCAATTACTACTTTGGAGTCATCCACCTGGCAGGACTTTAGGATAAATCAAATATCTTCTTGGAGGACTCATGAACTAGAATTAGAAATCTCCAAGTACAAGGAAATAATGTGCTCTTGGAAAAACCAAGGGCAACATGACAGAATTGAGAACAAAAAAGAACCACTCAAAGATCTATTAACCAAATTCATATAAATTTATTACATAGGAATAAAACCTTAGCAAGGACTCAAAACTAAAAAGTTCAAGAGAAGCAAATATTTTTCTTCTTTATTCTTGCAATAATTAGTTATATTCAATAATGATTTTCCCTCTGCATTTATATATATATATATTTTTATTGATTTTATATAGAGAGGAAGGGAGAGGGATAGAGAGTTAGAAACATCAATGAGAGAGAGTCATCGATCAGCTGCCTCCTGCACACCCCCCACTGGGGATATGCCCGCAACCCAGGTACATGCCCCTGACCGGAATCGAACCCGGGACCCTTCAGTCCCCAAGCCAACGCTCTATCCACTGAGCCAAACCGGTCTCGGCTTTCCCTCTGCATTTAAAAAAGGCAAATAAAATATTTCTTATTTTCTTAGAACAATTTGTGTTTTCTCATCTTTAAAACTGATACCTAAGACATGAATGGTTCGAATAACACAGTTTTAATTCTCATTAAATATACCATAAGGGGGCTCCATTTTTTTGAAGACAAACTTCCCCTTTATCTCTCAAATAGATGTGATTTTTCCTTCTTCTGCACTTCCAAAAAACTGATTTAGGTCTTTTTATGGCACTTGTGTGGGGCAACCCTGCCATTCTTTGACTAAAATACAAATTCTTTGAGGATAAAGATAAGCTTGTCTACCATGAGTACTATTTATACCTAATAAATTCTGAATGTTGCTAAGTGAAGCTTTTATGCATACAAAAAAATCATACACATCACTTTAACCCATATTTTCATATTAATGTCATAAAATCATTACAGTCCAAAAATATAGCACTGACTCCCTTAATGTAACAGTTCAAAAGAGAATCTGTTTAAACAAATCAATGTGCTATTAATTCTTGGATAACCAAATGTTTCTATGTTTATGATTCTATCAGTCTTTAAAGAATCAGTCTAGCCGAAGCCGTTTTGGCTCAGTGGTAGAGCATCGGTCTGCAGACTGAAAGGTCCCAGGTTCGATTCCGGTCAAGGGCATGTACATTGGTTGCGGGCACATCCCCGGTGGGGGGTGTGCAGAAGGCAGCTGGTCAATGTTTCTTTCTCGTCGACGTTTCTAGCTCTCTATCTCTTTCCCTTCCTCTCTGTAAAAAAATCAATAAAAAATATTTTAAAAAATCAATAAAAAAAACTAAAAAAATCAATAAAAAAATAAAAACTTCAATTCTACAATAGTAACAATATAATGCAAAATAAACCAAAAGAAACATGCTTAAAAAAAAAGAATCAGTCTAGCCCTAGCTAGTTTGGCTCAGTGGATAAAGCATTGGCCCATGGACTTAAAGGTCATGGGTTCAATTCCGGTCAAGGGCAATTACCTCAGTTGCAGGCTCCATCCCTGGCCCTGTTTGGGGCCATGTGGGAGGCAACCAATCAATGTCTTTCTCATATCCATGTTTCTCTCTCCGTGTCTCTCCCCCTCCCTTCTGCTCTCTAAAAATCAAATATCCTCAGGTGAGGATTAACAAATAAATAATAAAAAGGGCAAAGGCTATAAAGACATCTTCCAAAAAAGATATACAAATGTCTATGCCTCTTCTGTTCAATGGCCTACCGATGGATTCCCTTCTAACTGGAAAAGAAACCCCTAAGCATTACCGTTTTAGCTCTTAACATTTAAGATGATCAACTTTTAAAAAATTATCTAATAAAAGAGTAACATACAAATTAACCATCACTCTGCTACACCCACAAACCATGCCCACCAACTAATCAGGAACAAGTATGCAAATTAGCACAACCAAGATGGCTGCAGTCACAGAGCAAGCAGGATGCTTGGGTTTCCCCGGTAATGGAGGAAGCCAAGCTTTCCGCACACCCTGGCCGGCCTAGTCCTCTACTCAAGGCTACAGTTTCAATTATAGAAGATACATCTCAGATACCATGGGTCACTTGGGTTGCCGGGGAGCGTGGCTGGCCTGCAAACCACCACAGAACCCTCTCCCAGGCCACCTCATGGAAACCCCCACCCTGATCTGGGACACCCTTCAGGGCAAACCAGCTGGCCCCCACCCATACACCGGGCCTATATCCTATATGATAAAAGAGTAATATGCAAATTGACTGTCACTCCAACACACAAGATGGCTGCCCCCATGTGGACACAAGATGGCCAGCAGGGGAGGAGAGTGGGGGAGGGGGGGGATCAGGCCTGTAGGGGAAGGCAGTTATGGGTGACCAGACCTGTAGGGGAGCAGTTAGGCATCAATCAGGCTGGCAGGCAGAAGTGATTAGGGGCAATCAGGAAGGCAGGCAGGCAAGCAGTTGGGAGCCAGCAGTCCTGGATTGTTAGAGAGGTATCTGACTGCCCATTTAGGATTGGGCCTAAACGAGCAGTCGGACATTCTCAAGGTGTCCCAGATTGAAGAGGGCGCAGGCTGGGCTGAGGGGATGACTTCTCCCCACCTCCCCCCCCAATGCACAAATTTCTTGCACTGGACCTCTAATGAAAAAAATACACACACACACACACACACTAGTATATAGGTATTTTTTTTAAAAAAAGAAAAGACACTGTTCAACCAGACTAACCCTATAAACCATGACAGTGACAGGTACAGCCATACTTCTCTCACCTAATCCAGTAACCTACCTCTCAGCCACTGCTAGCAGCCGCTCTGGCCTAAAGGTACCCTCGGTGTCAATGTACATGGCCTTTCCTTCACCTCCACCCCGGTCAATGGGAAGCTAGAGAGAACAAAAAGAACGGCAGAAATGAACACTGTACTTCTTATATAACTGACCAACTTACCCATGATTCTATACATTCCCCCTCTCTCCAATAAGGCAAAGGGAAAAAAATCACTTCAAAGTGACAATCAGAGATAGGAAGGAAAGCATTCCCTTCCAAGAAGCTCTGCTAGAAGTAGACATGAAGCTCACTGTGTCCCTTAGCATATAAGGATAGAAATCGTGCCAGAGTTGGACTGCTTGGAAATACAGTCCAAAGTAAGTAATAAAATTCTGACTGTATACCCTCATAAGACTGACCAATCCTCACAAGAGTACAAATAGCCCTGACCAGTTAGGCTCACTGGATAGAGTGTCGGCCTGTGGCCTGAAGGGTCCCAAGTTCTATTCTAGTCAAGAGCATGTACCTTGGTTTCGGGTACATCCCCAATAGGGGGTGTGCAGGAGGCAGCTGATGTATGTTTCTCTCTCATCAATGTTTCTAACTCTATCTTTCTCCCTTCCTCTCTATAAAAAGTCCTTTTAAACTTTCTTTATTGATTATGGTATCACATAATTGTCCTCATCCCCCCATTCCCATCCCAAACCCCTCCCCACGTATGCCCCCACCATTGTCCATGACCACTGGTTAGGCTCATATGCATGCATACAAGCCCTTTGATTGATCTCTCCCCCTTACCCCCATCCTCCCCTACCTTCCCTCAATAAAATATATTTTCTTAAAAAGAAAAAAAAAAAAAAAAGAGTACAAATATTTGGAAGATCATTTACCTTAGCTTTAATAAGTAAGAGAGCCTGATCCAATACCCAATAATTTTAGCACGACCAAACCACTTTTACACTTCACTTTACTGAATAGTTCCTTTCTCTGGCTTATTGAAGGAACTTGGCAATGCCCTAAGGGCATCCCCAGCAAATTTAATGTAATGTTAAAGATAAGCAAAGAAGAGAAACCAAGATGGCAGCATAGGTAAACACTAAACTGCTGCCTCGCACAACAATTTCAAAACTACAATTAAAAAAAAAAAGTTCTTCCAGCGTAGACATAGCTGATCCTCGCAGCCAGTTGGCCTGGAGGTTAATTCCTCCCAGTGATACCAACAACAATCAAAGCTTGGGACCTGGGCAGGGGCGGGGCTGGCAATTGGAGGGAGCTGGGGGCCCTGCCAAGGCCCCGAGACCATAGGCCTTGGCAGGGCAGAGCCAGCGATCGGCGATCTGTGTGAACTACAGAGGAAACACCTTTTCTGACCACTCATTGGCTAAGCTCCCTGTGCGCTGCCATTGATAATATTCTTAGTAACTTGGGTATCAGAATCCAAAAAGGCGATCTAGGGATTTTTCTACCACACTCCTGGAGAAAAAACGAAAGTCTGCTGCTGGAGGGCTAAGAAATGCCATATCCGGCCCTGGCCAGTTTGGCTCAGTGGATAATGCCTAGGCCTGCTGACCGCAGGGTCTGGGTTCGATTCTAACCAAGGACATGTACCTAGGTTGCAGGCTCCTCCCTGGCTGGGACCCAGGTCAGGGCTCATGCAGGAGGCAACCAATCAAAGTGTTCCTCTCACTTTGATGTTTCTCTTTGTCTTTCCCTTTCTCTTCCACATTCTCTAAAAGTCAATGGAAACATATCCTCAGGTGAGAAAAAAAAAAAAAGAAAAAGAAAAGAAAGATGTATATCCTATGAAAGACACATCTTGAAAATGCATAAGAAAGTCATCATTTTTTCATGGTGAAGGGACTGGAGTCCATGATGATTAAAACAACTTGGTGGCTGCAGTGACTGGCAGTGGCTGCAGCAGCAGGGGGATGGGACTGGTGCCTTCCCTGATCAGTCCAGTTGCCTCCCACAGAGGGAGGCCAGACTGTGGCTTAGGCCCACGGGGAGCAGGCCTAAGCTGCCAGTAGGACATCCCCTGAGGGCTCCTAGTATGTGAGAGGGGGCAGACTGGGCTGAGGGACCTTCCCCCAATGATTTTCATGCACTGGTCCCCTAGTATGTATGTGTATGTACACACACACACACACACACACACACACACACACACACACACAATGTGAACCCTATGCAAGACACAGGGTCCTAACAAAATCCTTATTTTTAAAAATATATATTTTTATTGATTTCAGAGAGGGAGAGACATCAATGATGAGAATCATTGGTTGGCTGCCTCCTGCCTGCCCCACAAAGGGGACCAAGCCCACAACCTCAGCACGTGCCCCAACCACCAGACATCAAATTGTGACCTCCTGCTTCATAGGTTGCTGCTCAGCCACTAAGTCACGCCAGCCAGGCAAAAATCCTTATTTTTATAACACATACTGTTCTTAGCGGCAGCAGCTGCCCTGGCCGGGTGCTTGGTTGACAGGAGCTTTATCCCATAAACCAAAGATGGTGGGCTCTATTCCAGGTCAGGCACCTACTTTAGGTTGCAGGTTTGATCCCCGGTTGGGGCAGGTATGGGAGATAATCCAATCAATGGTTCTCTTTCCCTCTCTCTAAAAAAAAAAAAAAATCATTTTTTGATAAAGTGCTACTTAAAATACAGAATAAATTAGGGACTGCTCATAATTTGTTTTGTAAGGGGAAAAAACAAACAAAAGAAAATTTATATTTGATATCTAAATTTATAATAAGTTCCACGAACTATTATTATTTTGTTGAGAGGATAAGGACTCACACTAGGATGGAAAGGTACTATATATGTAAGAAAGCACATTTCATTTCAATTATTCTTGAACTCCATCAATAAGTTGTGTCCCCGGGAGAAATGAGTATGATGTATCTAGATGAAAATAATGCCGTTTTTGCTCTGGCCAGGTGGCTCAATTGGTTAGAGCATTGTTCCTGATACCCCTGGGTTGCAGGTTCAATCCCCAGTTAGGGCATATACAAGAATCAACCAGTGAATGCATACATAAGTGGAACAACAAATCAATGTGGGTGTTTTCTAAATTTTTTAATAAAAAGGAATTTTTTAAATGGCTATTTTCTTCAAATACCTAAAACTGTAATAAAGCCCCAAAGATTATAACAGATGAGTTGGACCATGGAAATGGACCTTGAGTGGAGTCAAATCCAGGACTTCTCTGACCACAGGCTGACACTCTATCCACTGTGCCAAACTGGCTAGAGCTTTCAGTGGCACTTTTTTAGTCCCGATGAGCTAATACTTGTAGTAATCATACATCAAATATCCTTAGCTCTTGCTTCTCCTTTCAAGCCATTCAATAAGTTGTTACCAGAATATTTCTGAAAATTTTGCTCGTGTTCCTCTTTAGTTGGAAACATTGAATAAACTCCACTCTTTACAAATTCAAGTGTAAGCTTCTTACACTGAGATCAAAATCTGGTCTTGATTTGTCCTTTTAAGGTTCATATCCTACAACTTTTCTAAATAAAACCTCTGAACTCAGTTAACAGGTTTATTTATTGTCTTCTCCTCAATATATATGTCTCCCTGATCCCTGCACTTTTGTTCATACCATTCCCTATAGTTAAATGTGTTTTTAAATTTCTTTACTTGCTCAAATTTAGTATTGTCTAGAAGTCTGGTCCAATCTCTTTTCTCCATAAAGTATTCCATAATTATTCTAGGGTGAGGTAATGCTTCTCTCTTCCTTAAACAGTTACACTATTTCCTCTATACCATTTACTTTATATCAGATATGCCTTAGGATATCCATTCTATCAAGCAGTTACCGAATGCCATGCACTGATTTAGGCAATAGCAATATAGCAAGTATCCTATCTAATAAGATTGACCATCACTCCAACACACAATATCAAGACAGCTGCCCCCATGTACTCAAAGATCCTGCCCCCAGGTGGACACAAGATGACCACCACAAGATGGCCAGCAGGGGAGGGCAGTTGTGGATGATCAGGCAAGCAAGGGAGGGTAGTTGAGGGGGAACCAGGCTGGCAGAGAAGGGAAGTTGGGGGCAAACAGGCTGGCAGGGGAGCAGTTGGACATCAGTCAGGCTGACAGAGAAGTAGTTAGGGGGTGATCAGGCTGGAAGGCAGAAGCGGTTAGGGGCAATCAGGAAGGCGAGCAGTTGAAAGCCAGCAGACTTGGATTGTGAGAGGGATGTCCAACTGCCTGTTTAGGCCCGATCCCGATGGGCAGTTGGATATCCTCGAGGGGTCCCGGGTTGGAGAGGGTGCAGGCTGGGCTTAAGGACATCCCCCCAGACCGTGCACAAATTCGTGCACCGGGCCTCTAGTCAGATATAAATCTGAGGGTATTGGTAAAGGAATACTTTTTAAAAATATATTTTTATTGATTTCAGAGATGAAGGGAGAGATAGAAACACCAATGATGGGAGAGAATTACTAATTGGCTGCCTCCTGCCCACCCAACACTGGAATTGAGCCTGAAACCTGGACATGTGCCTTGACTGGGAATCAAACCATAACCTGGTTCCTGGGTCAGCGCTCAACCAACTGACCTGCACTGGCCAGGGTGGTAAAGGAATGAATGACTTTAATGATGAATCATAAAAAGGGAAGATAAAGTCACGGAGGTTTGGTGGGTGGTAAGAAAGTATTGAAGTCAATGATCTGAAAGTTTCTATGAATTGGAAGAATTTTGCAGTAGGAATTTATTTTATAAGTAGCACATGGGATTCTTGAGAACAGAGAAAGTGCCTTAATATCCATCCCAACAGATGCTTGAAAACAGTGGAAATAACTTCTTGCTGGTTTGATTAGTTAGAGGCCCAACAGCTCACCTGGCATGTTACAGCCAATGTATGACAGATCTGGGTCTTCCCAGTTCGGAATTCTCCAAACATCTCTGTGATGGATCCAGTTTCAATTCCTCCTAACAGAGCAATAAGAAACACCTCTTAGCACAATACAAATGTTTAGAAACAATAATCATAGAAACGTTCTCGGAGCTCATCAGAAAGATATTTACAGGATGATACAGAGGTGCAGAGGGGAGAGCTAACACTTTAAGTGTAATTCCTAAACTCAGGATATTTTGCACCCTATAAAAAGATAACTTGAATGCTTAAATATTTGGGGAAGCAATAAGAATCAAATCTAACTTAGGACAGCAATGCTTTCAAAAGTTCAAAAACTAGTTTTCTGCCCTGGCTGGGTAGCTCAGTTGGTTAGAGCATCATTCTATTACATCGAGATTGCAGGTTAGATCCCTGGTCAGGGCACATACAAGAATCAACCAATTAATACTTAAGTAAGTGAAACAACAAAAAGAAAAAAAGGGGAAAAATAATAAAAAACAAAAATAAAAGTGGAACAACAAATCGATGTTCTTTCTCCCTTCCTCACTCTCTAAAATTTAAAAATAAAAGCATAAACAAAACCACAGCTTTCCATAAAATACTGAAGATTTAGTATAAACTACAGTGCAGTATTCAAACATGGAGTGGTTATTTAAAAAATATGTTTTTATTGATTCAGAGAGGAAGGGAGAGGGAGAGGGAGATAGAAACATCAACAATGACAGAATCATTGACTGGCTGCCTTCTACGCATCCCTTATTGGGGAATTGAGCCCGCAACCTGGGCATGTGCCTTTGACCACAATCAAACCCAGGACCCTTCAGTCCGAAGGCCAACGCTCTATCCACTGAGCAAAACCAGCCAGGACTAAACATGGAGTGTTTTAATCAGGCATCAGATTCTCAAACTTGTGTGTGTTAAAGTAGAAGATTAAAATGATTGCTTTAGGCAGAGGGAGCTGACTCTCTGAATGCAATATTAAGTGGAGATTAAATTATTTAATTGGCAGATCACGTTAGCATTTTACAAGTCAGGTCCCACCTTACAGCAGTCTTACTTCATCAATGTGGATACTTTTCTTATCTTATCTCTTAATCATATCTAACACATTAGTCCTGCCCATATACTTTAGTTTTGTTCTATGACCTGGATGCTTTGCTAACTGCAGTTCACAAAATAGGACAAGGAATTACTACACCTTGAAGTAGTTTGTCGAGTTCTTTAGAGCCAGTAGTAATTTGTATGATCTCTGATCGCCTTTGGTGGAACTCAGTTGCAGTGGTAAAACCCATTGGAACTAATTTAGCTGCCTCCGTCTGGGAAAAACAAGCAATGTCAAATCAACAAAAAAAGCTTACAAAAACAAGAACCAGGCATAAAACAGACAACATCTAACAAATTCCCATTATGATTTCTCTTTAAGAAGTCATCAAAATACTAGTAGTTCTAGGATTATTTTATCTCTCTGGCAACTAAAGGATAAGCTAATTTAGAGACTCCATGAAGATTAATGTTTAAATTGTCAATTCAAGCAATACATTCATGTACTTAAAAAACTATTACAGACCGACACATATGAGCTTCAGGTGATTTATGACAAATGTGACAATACAGTATAAGGTCCAAAACAGATTTAAACCTTCATTTTCTGTACCATCAACCACAGATTACACAACTTTCTACTTTGTTAAATGAGGACATTTGTCCTTTGATCTCTTCTCCTTCCATGTCTACTTACCCACCTCTGTCAGCTATTCCTTTTATTTCACCTTTTACTTTTTTGCGACCCATTTTATATCCTATGTTGTAGTTACTTACACATCTTCAATAATCAGTCTATCAGTTGATTCCAAAATTTAAAAATAAATGCATTCACAAACATGTGAGAATAAAATATCATAATCCTAAATAACCAATGAATCCAAGAAATCTCTAGGGAAAATACTCTTGAGATGACTAAAAATAAAGATACAAACATTAAATCTTATGGGATACAGCAAAAGCAGTATGAAAAAGGAAATCTATATTAGAACCACCCCCCCCCCTTTTTTTTAAATCCTCACCTGAGGATATTTTTTCCATTTCTTTTTAGAGTCGGAGGGAGGGAGGGAGGAAGGGGGGAGAGAGAGAGAAACGTTGATGTGAAAGAGACACATAGAATGATTTCCTTGATTGCCTCCTGCATGTGCCAGGACCAGCACCACAGTGCTTGCCCTTGACCTAGAACTGAGCCCGAGACCCTTTGGTGCATGGGCAAACGCTCTAACCACCGAACACACTGGCCAGGGCTAGGAGAATCTTAAATAGCCTAACTGTCCATCTTAAGATGCTGGAAAAAGAAGAAACTAAATAAGCAGAAAGAAGGGAATAAGATGAAAGCACAAATTAATAAGATAGAGGACAGAAATATAATGGGAAAAATTCATCACAATGCTTATATTAGTTTTGTACACATAATTCATTGCAGAACCAAATAGTGCGATAGAAATGCAATTTTTTGTTACATTATGCCTCTCAAAAGTTTCTACTGTCAAATTCAAATAAATTCTTTTTTATACTACAAAAGTTTCAAAATCATGCTCCATTTACCCTGCTTTTATATCTGAGCCACATCTTTCTCTAGTATTCTCTAACCTTATCATTCCTCAAATTTTCCAACCGCTCGATCTCACTCTGTATTCACACTTAACCCCTTTCCCCCCCTCCGAGATCTCCTTTCCTTCTCCAATTCCCTTTCCGCTCTCTAGGTCAGCTCCTATCACTGAGTACTTGAGTTGGAGCCACTCTAACCTATATCCCATGTTTCCCATCTAAAATCTGGTAAAGTATATCCTCAAATAACTTCCTAAGAAAAAATAGATGAGAGAAAAATGTTCTGAATTCTTACATTTCTGAAACTGTTTTAATCTGCACTAATATTGGATTAATAATGTTACTATCGATAGAAGCTAAGCTTAAGATTATTCTCCCTCAGAGCTTTAAGGGCATTGCTCTACCTGCTTCTCTCACCCGGATTTCTGACAGAGAACGTACTTTCTGATGATCATTCCTTTAGATGTCACTTACTTTTTTCTCTCTGAAATCTTTCAGAACCTTCTCTTTATGAATGTTATACTGAAATTTCACACAGATCTGTCTAGGTGTTCGTTTTTGATAGTCTATGGGATATTACTATATAAGACTTTTGCTTCTCTTTAACTGTCAGTTTCTCTGGTATTATTTCTCTGACAATTTCTTCCCTTTTTCCTATAACTTCTATTAATCTTCAGGATGAATGGAGATTTAGTAGATTTAGGAAATAAAAATATCAAAGAAAGGGGGGGGAAGAAGCTTATATTCCAATATTGAAATCTACTCAATGTATACTAAAATATTTAGGGGGAAATGTATTAATGTCTGCAACTTTCTTTGAAAAGCATAAAAAAAATCCAAGATGGATTAACTGCTGGATAGAAAGATAAACAAGTGATAAAGCAAGTATATTAACACTAGTGGCCTGGTGCACAAATATGTGCACACTGAAAGAACATTAATTAGGATAAATATTTTAATAGCGCTATTCGCCCTTTCTCTATAATAGAAGTGTCAACCAAGTTCATGATCGACAATGACAGATTGGAAACACATGGGTGTGATTGGTGCCAGAGAGCTTTATATGTATTGCGTATGTGTGAGTCAACTTAGCCTTTTGTATATATAGAATAAACTTGCCTAATTAGACCTGCGTTCTGATTTAGCTAAACTTTTCCCAGCCCAGTGAAGCACCCCAACTTCTCTTTCAGGTAACTGTCAGCAACACAGCAGTAAATAGCAACACAAAGCAGATTATTATTGTAGGTCATGCAGGGAGAACAAAGGATAAAATATTTATTCTGCACAGTGAGAAAACATGAAGTCATTTTCAAGTTCCACCATTTCTTACTTCTTTTCAGTTGGGTCAAGTTTCTAAGCTTTCTAAATCTCCATTTCCTGGCTAATGAAAATAGGATTCTAGCGAGTCTCCTATCTACCTACTGCAGGACTTCTGTGAGGATCAAATGAGATGAGGCACAGGAAAACACTTCACAGACATTTGGTTAAAGTGTAAATGTTTCCACCAGGGTACAAAGCAAGTCATGACCCTGGGGTGCAGAAACTCCAAGGAGGCCAGTCGCTAAGGAGAGGAAGCTGGGCATTGCTACGTGACATCATTACCAGGCCGCTCAGCGCCTGTCTCTGGGCTGGCCACGGGGTCACAGCAGCCACGGCTGTGATGTGATGGGCTGTCGCTGCTGATGTCTACTTCCCCACCTCTGCCAGCTATTCCTTTTCTTTCACCTTTTACTTCCCCGTGTCCCACTTGGGGGAAGCGGAGTATTGCTTTGTCCGTCAGGTCCGTGCTGCCAGTTTCTCTGTAAATGGCAAGTGTGCACCAGGGCAGCTCCTTCATTGAGGGTCTTCCCCTTGGTGGTCAGTGCACATTATAGCGACCAGTTGGATAGTGAGAAGGACACTTAGCATATTAGCCTATATATATATATCTATATATATATATGTATGTATATATATATATATATATGTATGTATATATGTATATATTTAGAGAGAGAGAGAGAGAGAGAGAGAGAGAGAGAGAGAGAGAGAGGGAGAGAGAAAGAGAGAGAACCAGTATATAAAATTCATGCAGAGCAGGGGGAGAAGTCCCTCAACCTGGCCTGTACCCTCTCCAACCTGGGACCCCTCAGGGAATGTCCAATTGCCAGTTTAGGCCCCTGTGTGATGAGGCCTAAACCGACAGTCAGACATCCCTCTCACAATCTGGGACCATTGGCTCCTAACCACTTGACTGCCTACTGGCTTGATTGCTGTCTAAGCTGATGGCCCCCAACTGCCCTCCCCTGCTGGCCTGATCGCCCTTAACCACCTCTGCCTTGGCCCCCACCACTGTGGCTTTGTCCAGAAGAAAGTCGGATGGTAGGAACATGTCCAGTCTCCCAATCTAATTAGCATATTACCCTTTTTATTAGTATAGATGTTAATGTTATAGTCCAGGTGATGTGTATATGACTGTCCACTATATAATTCTTTCAATAAGTGCAATAAGTGCAATAAGTTAAAAAATTTTAATAAAATGTTGAAAAAACTCAGGAGATGCTTTACCTTCTTTTAATTTTAACTCTTACACTTTCTTGTCTATGAGCTCATAAAGGAATAGAATACTAAACCAAAGTGAAATCTGAAGTAAAAACCATCCAATTGCCTAATCTGGCAGAACTTTACTTCTATTCTTATATTTAACATAATAAGCTAGCTTTTATCTGAGCTAGGTAGAAGTCTTTAGATGTTTTCAATAGTCAAGAACCATCGAACCCTCAGAAACATCGATGACAGAGAAACACCGACCAGTTGCCTCCTGCACACCCCCTACCGGGGATGTGCCCGCAACCAATGTACATGCCCTTGACTGGAATTGAACCTGGGACCCCTGAGTCCACAGACCGATGCTCTATCCACCGAGCCAAACCGGTTTTGGCAGGAAAATATTTTAAAAAAATATCTGCTGAATCGATCAGTGCTATGGTGGTATACCAGGCAAGAAAGAATAGTTCAACAAAAGCCAATGACAATTTCTTTTTACTACCCTTCCCTCTGATAACCACCATTCTGTTGTCTGTGTCTATGAGTTTCAGTTTTATACCCCACATGAATGAAATCATATGGTTCTTAGCTTTTTCTGGTTGACTTACTTTTGCTAAGCATAATATTCTCAAGGTCACAGATCATATATCATAGAAATGTACACTTGGAACCATATAATCTTATTAACTAGAGGCCCAGTGCATGGATTTGTGCGAGTTGGCCGAAACCAGCTCTCCAACATCCCCCAAGGGGCCCCGGATTGCGAGGGCAGTTCTTGGGTGACACACCCCAGGATCAGGCCCTCCCCTGGGGTGCATCACCCAAGAACCACAGCTCAGCAGCTCCTGCATTGAGTGTCTGCACCCTGGTTGTCGGTGTACATTATAGCTACTGATTGTAGCATCTGGTCCCTGGTGCTCATTGCACGTCATAGCTATAGTTGGACGGTCAAATGGTTGCTTAGGCTTTTTATATCTAGACTAGAGGCCTAGTGCACGAAATTCATGCATGGAAGGGAGAGGTCCCCCAGCCGGGCCTGCACCCTCTCCAATTCAGGATCCCTCGGGGGATGCCCAACTGCCTCTTGCAATCCAGGATCGCTGGCTCCTAACCACGTGCCTGTCTGCCTGCCTGATAGCCCCTATCTGCTCCCATACCACCCTGATTGCCCTAATTGCTCCCCTGCTGGCCTGACTGCCCCTAACTGCCTCTGCCTCACCCCACACCCAGGACCCAGGACCCCCTCCTCTAGCCAGTTGCAGGCACCTGAGACCCGGACTTCCCTCCCTCTGGCTGGCTACAGGCACCCAGGACCCAGGCTGGCTTTTCCCAGGCCGGCTACAGGCACAGAAGACCATGAGTGGATGGCTTCGCCCGGACCGCAGCCACAAGTGCCCAGGACTGCAGGGTGGGCGGTTTGTCCCTCTCCTGGGCTGCAGGTGCAGTCGTTGGTCCCTGGGACCATGGCGGGGGGGGGGGGGGGGAGAGGAGGTTGTCCTCCCAGGCCATAGACCCAGCTGCTGGTGCCCAGACCACGGGGCGTGTAGCTTGTGCCTCTCCCAGGCTGCAGGGCAGCCGCTGGCGCCTGGGACCACAGAGCAGGAGGCTTGTTCCTTTCCCCAGCCACAGCCTGGTTGGTCCCCATTCCTCTCTCTAAGTGTTGAGTGTCTGAGCCATTAAGGTGTGAGGGCGTGATAACTATTTACATATTTGCTCTTTATTATATAGGATGTCACACCAATGAATTTAATAATAATAAAAATGAATAAATAATTCTGGATAGTTTCCTTTCTCCACTGTGACAATGGATATTCTTGCTGAAAATCTCAATTCCAAAGATTTGGGGGGAATGGAAGGGAATAGCCACAGTACTGAAAAATAAAAATGTTCTTTAGCCTTTTTAAAGTAAATAGTATAATCTTTAATCACCAGAAATTCAGAATATAAAATGTCTGAGATCAAAAGGACAAAAATGTAAAAAGACTTATCTATTATCATGTTGCACATATCATTTCACTTATTACAGGTGTGTATGTTTACACCAAAACATTGATTTCATTTCTAAAAGTACAGTCTGACAAGGCATAAATAAAGATCCTGCCAGGATGTGTCCAGTCACAAACACCGACGTTCAAAAAGAAACAACAGGGACACCTACTGGCTCATTCAATATCACAATATTTCAATAAGGTATTGGGGACTCCGAACTCTTATTTCCAATTAAGTCACCTCTTCAAACATTTATTTATTTGAATAATCCAATAAATGACAGCATCTTTCCTCTCAAATTAAGAATTCCTTATGATTTTTGAGTCCTGACTAAATTTATATTACATAATAGTACTAAATAAATGAAGGACTAGCCCTGCCAATGCTTAAAAATTCAAAGCTCTTAGTATAATAACCAATAAAACAATTACTGTGTTGTATATATATTTTATGTGTAAGATATTAAATAAGTATACATAAATCTCAGATACTGCCCACTTGAGTAAGTCACATAGCAGAACTACATGTATTGAAACTACCTAAGAACAAAGGATACATTCTTTTGATAGATTCTCTAGTTTTTCAAGATTCCTTTTCAGAGAAAAATTGTGTAAAACTATGTGTTATCTGGATTACCAGAAGCAAAACAAGCAACGCTGGCTCTGCCTATCTTTCTCATCGCTGTTATGAAGATCAAGGGGTAATATATATAAAAGAGATGAGATTTCAAAGTTAAAGTGCTTTACAAGGGATTAAGTTACTACCTCACTTCAATTAAGCCAGTAAAATCACTTTTATGTCATTTATTAAGACATAAAAAAAACTAAGCATATGATTTGAAATCACACCCTCTTGTCATTAAAGAATATTCCTATGATTAGCTAACAGATTATATACACTGAGAGCCTAATTAATATGACTTTAATATTCAAGCAATTCAAACAGCTTCTCTATTTGAAAGTAAAACATGTTTATTATAGAAAACATGTTGTCTGTGTCTATAAGTCTCAGAAAATTGAGACAAAAATAAAAATTGCTTACGTCCTTACCATCAGAAGTTAAATTAATATTTTAGTGTATTTATCCCTAGTGTATGTGCTATACATATATAAATACACATTTTAAAAACAAAAAAAAATCAAATATATATATATGCCTGCACACATACATACACACACGTTTTGTTAACATTTCTTGTATCAGGAATGTTATCCTGTCAATGAATATTCTTTGAAACTGTTTTAAATGGTTGCATTCTAAAGAATATTTCTAAGGCATGAGATCAAATATCTAGAAAGATAAAGTACACTCACTCTCTGTTAGTAGTCAAGTTGGCAGTATTTATGCATTACCCATGATACTGCAATTCCTTAGAGAAAATCCCAGTCTATGCAAGAAGGCACATACAGAGATAGCCGGGAATGCAGGCACCCCTGGAAAGGGGAACAAGATGGCACACCAAGGGATGAAGCAGGAAGACCACTACCTTTCACTGTATACCCTTTGGTATTCCTCCCTTTATTTATTTTTTTAAATATATTTTATTGATATTTTACAGAGAGGAAGGGAGAGAGAGAGAGAGAGAGAGAGAGAGAGAGAGAGAGAGAGAGAAAGAGAGAGAGAGAGAGAGAGAGAGAGAGAGAGAGAGAGAGAGAGCTAGAAACGCCGATTAGAGAGAAACATCGACCAGCTGCCTCTTGCACACCCCCCACTGGGGATGTGGCCACAACCAATGTACATGCCCTTGACCGGAATCGAACCCAGGACCTTTCAGTCCGCAGACCGACGCTCTACACTGAGCCAAACCGGTTCTGGCTGGTATTCCTCCCTTTAATGCCTCCCTTGGGCACGGAAGCAGTACTTACCAGAATTTTATCAGCTTTGGCTTCACTAATCCCCTTAATATTTATTAGCTCCTTTTTTGGTGCGTAGGCAACAGCCTCCACAGTATGGAATCCAGCTTCTTCCAATTTCTTCACATCATTGGCATTTATGCCACATTGCTGCGAGAAGAAAACCAGGGATTAATTTAAACTTCAGTTTTCTCGTCTGTCTAATCTGGATAATTTGTCCTACCTACTCACAGGGTTGTTTAGAATACAAAAGTTTTAAAAAGTGTGCCCTAAATATAAAGTTTTTAATTACCAAAACTAGGAATTTTAAACTAGAACTATCCCATATACATTAAGTGGATTAAATTAGTAACTTCCAACTACTGGAGACAAATCTGTAACTCTCAACCTTTTATAACTGGGACTTTAAACGAACTTTGAGACCCTGGGTCCTAAAAAGGGCCACTTTAAGCCAGTATCTCCCAATGTTTTTTACATCAAGCACACATAAAAAAAGATTATTTTTTTATACCAAACTGGGGTTAGTAGATGAGGCTGCCCCAGAGCTGAGGGGAGCACTATCTCAACATATCAATAATCTTTTTGTAGTAAAAACAATTTTTTGGTAATACAATGACTAGAAAGCTCTACTCTAACCATTGACACTGAGAAGGGGGAAAATTGCTTTTGGTCACAGATTTGTATATCACTTCTTTCTCCCAAAGACAGCTTTGATTTCATTAGCTACTGAAAGCGTGGCTTCTGGAAGAGTGTGAGTTAGTGGGGATATGAGACTATATTAGGTAATCAGGGAAGATCTGGGAGATGAGAGAATAATACTTGCCCATAGAAACCATGTCTGCTATTAGTATTTAGGCAATAAGCAATGCACATGTGTGCTTGTACCATCACAAATCTATTTGTAACTTCTGAGTCTTGAAGCTTTGCTGGGGATGGAAAGAACATGCACAAAGAGACAGAAAAATGAAGGCTTTCTCTAATTTTCCTTCTACTTCAGTCTATGTACCAGCATTCACACTGGGGCCTTCGTACAATGAGCAGAAACATGAAGGCCCTGGCTCTGGTGCTTGATGTTCTTATGCAGATTTCTGAATTAGAGCTGGGCTCTTATACCTTAACTAGAGACCCAGTGCATGAATTCCTGCACCAGTAGGGTCCCTCAATCTGGCCTGTGGGATGGTGCTGAAACCGGCTCTCCGACATCCCCTGAGGGGCACCAGATTGCAAGAGTGAGAAGGCCAGGCCGAGGAACCCCACCAGTGCACGGATCAGGGCTGGGGAGGAACACAGGAAATGGCCAGCCGGGAGGGACTACGGAGGGCTCCAGATGTGTCCAGCCCATCTTGCTCAGTACCTATTGGCCAGACCCCAGCAGCAAGCTAACCTACCAGAGCATCTGCCCCTGGTGGTCAGTGCAAGTCATAGCAACTGGTCAACCAGACAACTGTGTGCTCCCTGGTGGTCAGTGCACACCACAGCCAGAGGTTGAGGGGCCTTAGCATATTATCATTTGATTGGTTGACCAGCTGACCAGACTTAGCAATATTAGGCTTTTATTATATAGGATAACTACAAGGCCTTCTCCTTGACCATGACAGCTGTCTTGTTAGTAACTTCAGCACATATCTTGGTTTTTCCTGTCTGCACAACCAGTCAGGCCACTGTAATTTCCTGGACAGTTTAATACAACTATTGTTTAATACTTAGTACAAACAGCAGACTCAACCATGGGATGCTAGGGCTTCTTCATTTCTGACAATCCAGCTCTGGGAAAGAAAAGTGACAAAGTGCAGGAGAATTCTTGACAAGAGATCTGCTCTGATATATTTTGCAACTATCTTAAGCCTTTCCACAGGATCCTTGACAACCCTTCTGAAAACTAATTTGGGTACTGACCATAGGTAGTAAAGCAATCTATGTATAAAAGCCTAAGTGACTGTTATGACAACGACTAGAATGACCAGTTGCTACAATGCACACTGACCACTAGGGGGCAGACGCTCAATGCAGGTGCTGCCATTGAGCCAACCTCCTGCACTACCTCCCCCTGGCTGGCAGGCCCTGGCTGGGATAGGGAACTAGGAGGTGGGTGGCAGCAGATGCAACCCTTTTCCCAGGAGGGCCAAGGATTGAGCATACCTCCTGTGTCCCGTCTCTCCCCCGCTGCCAACAGGCCCCAATTGGCCAGCTGCCCGCCTGCCATACAGCAGCAGGGGAGGGAAGCAAAAAGGGTGAGGGGAACCGTATGGTGGCGTAGGGACCCCACCAACGCACAAATTTTGTGCACCGGGCCGCTAATGGTTTATATAAAGGCTGTGATTTTCCCCAATCGGTACAAGAATCTAGACCAGCTTTAAAATTTCCAAGTTAGCAACTAAACACATTACCTCTAATCGTGAAATAGGTTGTGGGCCAAAGCTCTCTTCTTCCACTGAAGTATCTGCATTTGCTTCCAGCTGCATCTGCATAGCCATTACTCAGTGTTCAATACTGAAAAATACAGATGGCCATCAAAGAGAACAATAGAAAAAGTAGACCTGCACATTTACATTTGCAATAAATCTCTTAAGAATTACCTCCTGGACGTTTGGTGTAATCACTGACCTACCTATATCAAGAAAAAGAACAAATCTCTCACCAGCTTTCCTTCCACCTAGCTAGTTATATCAGGAAAACTGTAGGAAGAGCCAGGACTAGTCTGTTTCTTAAAAATGCGAAGCTTAACTAGATCAACTACATCCCCATTCCCCCCCTTCATATTCCCTGAGGGTAGGGTCAAGCCTTTTTTGTTCGTATATACTTCATGATACATTATAAATGTTAGGTGTTTGGTAAATATTTGGTAAATGAATGCACTTTCCAAGACTCTACTTCAAACATGTCAAACTCTCAGCCTGCAGGCCACATGCAGCCAACAATGAATATATTTGCAGCCCAGCCAATAAAACGGTATGTAAGAAACATTTTAATAAAAATTTTGTAACTTAATTTTTACAATATCCTGTTATACATAATTAATAATGAACTACAACGTTCGCTAATGACTGATTACTATAATCATGTTACATTCATTTCCCTTACATGTCTTACTCGTAGGCGCACCATTTCTCTCCACTAATACTAGCAGCCAATAACCATGTCATTAGTCTTGTACTGACTTGTTTGATGTGCGCAACAGAAAATATTCTGCTTTTGGGGAACAAGAAAAATAGGTTTATTTGCATTACACTTATTAATTTTTGCAGTTATTCAGTGTCTGATAAGTTAATGTTCAAGAAAAAATATTAATTTTTATTAAAATGTTCTATTATTTTATGTTAATGATTACTCATTTATGTCAGCCCTTTATATTCAGCATGTCTCTATCGAAATAAGCCTACGTTTCTATGAAAATTGAAGCTTTTGTTTTTTTTGTTGCCCACATGAACTTAAATCTTGTTTATTTGGCCCGTGTTGGTCTTTGAGTTTAACATGCTTGCTGTACTTAAAATGGAAAAAAATTTTTTTTTTTTAATGAAAGGTTAAATTGCTTCAGTTCCATTGTTCCCTTCCAGCAAGAAGGAGGTGGAGATGGTAGGATAGGAGTGAATAAATGTACAGAACCAGTGCCTCTAGTCTCCATTCCTGATAAACAGTGGACTGTTAGCCTGGGCAATCATAGCTTATAGTTACACATTATGCTTCTAACAGGAGTGTATGACATTTAAGTTCAACATTTTAATTAATTCCATACTTCAAGGTATGTGCAATGAATAAATAACATGCAAGTATCCTGCTCAGCCTGAAATCTTCCATTTAAGTGTAAGGACTATACCTAAAGTGTGATTATTATAATAAAGATTGCTCAGTTTGAAAAGAAAGTTTTTTTTTAATTATCTTCAAGAGATTTTATTAGTAAAAGTGAAGAAGTCTTCATGACCATAAGAATAAATGGCCTTAAATCAAACCAAAACAATCAGGACAATTTAACAATCAGGATAAATCTAATTCAAAAGATAACAAATATGAAGTTTCCATTCTTAAGAGACTTGACAGATGACCATTTGTTTTTGATTGGTTCAAGTACAGGCTTCTTAGGTGGCAGTTTTAGCATGATTCAAATATCAAAATCACCTGAATGCAATTTAAATCTCTTCCTTAATAATTTATGAAAAAGATGGCACTGCAAGTAACTAGGAAAGGATGGTCTTTTCAATAAATAGTGCTGAGTTAACTGGATAGCCTTATCGAGTAAGAAAAACAACAGGAAAAAAAATGTTTCCAATTTAGAGATTATAGATCTAAATGTAAGAGGTAAAACAAAGCTTTTAGAATATTGGTGAAAATTTTCATGACTTTGGGATAGAGAAGACTTCTTGAATGGTATACATAAAGCAATAAGCTAAAAGGAAAATGTTGAAAAACTGGAGTATATTCAAACTTAAAACCCATTAAAAGAGATCATTAAGAGAATGAAAAGTAAAACTACAGCGAAGGGAAGAAATGTACATGTACAACTAAGGGTTGATAGCAAAACTATATAGGGAAAAACTCCTCCAAATCAGCACGGAAGGCAATTCAAAAGAAAAATAGGCAAGAAATTTGAACAAGCACTTTACACTAAAAGATATCAAAATGGCTAATAAATATATAAACATAAGTCCAACCTCATTAATAGTCAGGATAGTTAAAATGAGATATTACTATATGCCCACCAGAGTAGCTAAAATTAAAAATATCGACAATGTCATGTTGGCAAGCATGTGGAACAACTAAACACTCATACACAGCTGTACTGTTTCTAGTATAAAATGGTACAATTTTGGAAAATACATTACTGTAAAGGTGAAAGCTGAAATAGACAAATGCTATGACCCAAAATTTCACTACTTTATATTATTAACCTACTGAAAAGCATACACGTGTACACCAAGAGGTATACAGGAATGCTTTCAGCAGCCTCTCTCATACAAGTCAAAAAATAGAAACAATCCAAACGTCCATCATGAGTACAATATCATATAGCAACAATAAAGAACTACTGCTCTATGCAAAGGCATGCGTGAACCTAAAGACAGAATACTGAGCAAAGTCAGACATTAAAACATATAACATTACTTAAAGAATCTTGCTTCCCAGCATCTGTCGACAGTTTGGGACAAATAAACTCATCCATTAACACACACGCGCTTATATAAAATTCAGAAACAGGCAAAATCAGTCTGTATCTTAGAAATTAATAGTGGTTGCCTTTGGAGAGAAGAGGGGAGAGAATTAGACGAGGGGCACAGGGAGGTTTCCGAGGTGCGGACAGCATTCTATTTTTTTTTTTTTTTTACTTGAGTGGTGATTATAGTTATTATTCAGGTCCAGAGGGAGGGAGGGAGGGAGAGAAATACCTCCTGATTTGTGGTTCCCCTTGCTTCTATGCGCCCAGACCTGAATCAACCCCATAACCTGTATCTGGACGTCGCTCTAACCAACAGGACGATCCGGCCAGGGCTACACTCACTTCACTTTAGAAGTTCAAAAACACACACACAGATCATTCCCTACGCATCCCGTGAACGGTCTTCCGATTAGAAATGAAATATCTTTTTGACAACTGGAGTAAGCAAAGCCTGGTATAACGGCAAGAGGACGCCCAGAAGCCCGGAAGCCCCGGCTCTAACACAAAGCGGCTGTGACTGGGTCTGTGCCCCGGCTCCCGCCCAGGGAACGGCGCTGGCAATGGAGGCCTCAGGACGGCTCCGCCCGGCTCCACAGACCCGTCCGCTGTTTACGCCACAGCGAGCTCCGGGAGTCCGTCTGCCCGGGCATGTCCCGCCTCACTTTCGGCGGAGAGCCCGAAGCCGGCGGGGAGCCCGGGTCCCGGCCTGGCTGCGGCGGGGAAGAAGCTGCGCGGGAAAGGGCGCCCGTCCACCCCCGACACTCACCGGGCTGCAGCGCTCCGACCTCCGGCCTCCGGCCTCCGCCCGCGCCCGGCCCGCGCCCGCCCCGGACGGACTTCAGACGCCCTCGCTGGGCCTCACTTCTCTCCTCCTCTGCTCCGTCCGACCTCCTGCACGCGACTCCAACGAGTTTCAGCTCTCAACCACGCGCCCGGGGACCCCCGCGCCCCTCAGGCCTCCGGCGCCAGTCCCGGTGCGCGCTCGCCCCGGCGGTTTCGTAAATCCCGCCAAACCCTCCGGACAGGGTCACGCCCGCGTCAACGTCACGTCTCCCCGCCTCCTCGGTCCGCCTTCCAGCCTGGGCCGCCGCTGCTCGCCAGCTCGTGAGGAGGCCACGGAACTTCGCCTTGCCTAATGCTACGTATTGCCCTCTTCCTTTTATCCTTTAAAACGAACTCAAAACTTGGGAGTTGCCGCCTTCTCATGATCAGATTGAGGACTACAACTCTCAAGAGGAATGGGGTCAGCTAGAAACTACATCTCCCAGTATGCACCGCCCGCGGCCTGGGCGGAAGCGTGTCCTCAGCCTCTTCTGGAAATAGCCTGGCCCCTTAGAGCAACTTCCTAAGGATCTAAACGTGAGCTGTTGGTGCTTTGGGTAGTAGCTGTGGGCCTCTCTGACTCAAATTCCAGGAGTCAGGCGTTTTCCAGGTCTCTGGAGGTGGGGGAGCTGAGGAAGGCAGAGTAGGTGGAGAAACCTGGAAATCGGGCGCGGGGAAGGGATAAAAAAAAAAGCTATGCTGAAGATTTGCAGGACTGCAGAGGAAAAAAGGAAGGGAGGCATTGATCTTGAAGGTAAACGTTATGTTTTACTGGAAAGTTTAATCTATTATTAAGATTTTAAAGTGTGAATAGGGGTTACCCGGCAAAGAAGCAGCGCTGGAAGACAAGCAAATAAGAGCATTATGGACGTAGAAATTTCACATGGTCAAGGAACAATATTGTCTGATGAAAGGAACATGTCGTAAGAGGTTCTGAGACTGGAGAGTTACATTTCATTTAGTTCAGGCTATGAAGAGGCTTAAGAGCATGTATAGTCTTCAGTCTTTATCTAGGTAATGAGGAAATCACTGAAATTATTTTAAGCAGACGAGTCATATAGTTAGATCTGTTTCCCCACCACCACTACATTTATGAAGTGGTTTAAAAGTTCATAAAATTTTCACTTAATCCTCACACCATTATCTTGTGTTATTGCAGGATAAATTTCAGGAGAGAGAGTCAAGAGCAAAAGCTGTTAGGAAGCTCTTGGAGTATTTCAGGAAAGAGATGAAAGCTTGTGTTAGAGCAATGACAACAGATTCAGGAAGCTTTCTGAAGTACAACCAACCTAACTTAGTAATTATAGATAGTACCTGGGGTGATAATGAGCTGCCTTCCATACCAAAGACACCCATATTTACCTCCCATTCTTCACATATATTCCTCAGAGCATCTGCAAATCCATATCTCTCCTCTCCTCCCCCCCATACCCCTGCTGAGTGAAGTCACATTTCTTTGACCTTTACTTAAATTTCTGTGGCTTTGTGGATGTTAAATGAGAG